AGACAAATTTTAATTCTCTTTTACCTCTAGATTTCTCTGATTTTTCTGTTGTGTTTTCTTGCACTTGCAGTGAAGAGAATTGATATGCCAACTCTGAAACCCATGCTTGTATAGTTCTTAGTAGCAGTTTTGCGAGATCTTTTTAATATGAAAAATTCAATTTTCTCAATGAAATTTGCCAAATATAAAAATATTGCAGTAGTTCTTAAACTTAGGATGTCTGTATTTTCCTTTTCTGTGAAAATAACACCATAAAAATGCTAACATATCTAGTTCGAATATGCCCACATGAAGCCAAGAAATCATAATTGTATTAATTTAATAAGGTAATATTTGTTGAAATCATACTTATAGTCTCATTTTTTAAAAGTTTGATGATACTTTCTTTTCACAGTGAATTTTACTTTATTAATGAAAGAAATGAACTTGTTAGAATTTAAACTTAAGTTTATACTGTAGAATGTAAATTTTGGATAATTTTATATATTATTTGTTTCTTAAATTTTAAGAATTTTTAGTTCTTTTATTTGGATATTTTGGGTATAGCATTCTGTCAACCGAATTTAGGAATAACTGTTTTATAATCATATGTCAAAATTTTAAACGTCATCATCTTTTTACCTATAGACAGTTCAATTCAGTTTTGGACAGGAATTACTGTTCAGCCTCCCATAGATACTGTGGATAGGTTTGTGAGATAGAGCACAAAACATCTGTTTACCCTCAACTTCTCTCAATATTCAAGGATGGAGGACCAGAACGAATGTTTTCTTAATCTCACTGATTTTGTTTAGTGAAAAGGTTAGCGTTATCGAAGCGTTTTGCCAAATTTGGAAAAACACAGCTGGGAGAGTGCAAGTGCAAACATTGCATTTCAAGTGAATAGTGGCTGTTTGAGACTTTGGGGAGAAATACAATATGCAGAGGAGAAAATGTGTGGCAGTGTCAATCTAAGGTGAATCAGAGTAGTTTAGTATTTCCTAAAAAATTGATGAAGGTCATTTAGAAGTCTTACCTCCCAAGAAGTTATAGATGTGGTTTGTTTTGGAACTGTATCTCTCCAATTCTTTTTTAAACATACTATATATAATTCTAATGTGTTTTTTTTCCCCTACTCTTTATATTTCGTAAGTCCTTGATGTTGTCACCAAAAGTTCCTGTGACAGAAACTGCAAGCTGTTGACCATAATCTGTTCTCTTACCCCATAATAGAGCTGTGGATGGCGGGTTCATTATCCATTATCCTTTGCACTTAAGTGACTAAATTCTCTTTGACCACTTCTAGGCCTGGCCTATAAAAGCTCCTCACATGACCTTCTTCCATAATGGCCCCGCCCCACGTTGGTTGATAATGGCTGCCATCATCAGCCTGGATCTCTGATAAATGTGTGAATCAGAGCTGCTCCACCCCACCCCCCTCAAATAGTCCCACCCCACCCAACAGACCTAGCGTTTCTGGAATGAACATGTTTCTGTTGTGTTTGAGCAGTTACATTTGAGGAATTTAGCCCACCCTATCTAATATACAAAAGAGAGGATTAGTTGGTGAAGGCCTCGAATTTTGAGAAGGAAATTAATTGCTTTTCGTTTGTTTATAAATTTTTTTATTCAAGTAGTCACCATACAAGGTTATATTATTTCAGTTGTACAACATAGTGACTCACCATTATTATATGTCTTACAATGTGATCACCACACTAAGTCTAGTAACATCTGTCACCATGCAAAGTAATCACAATATTACTGACTGTGACCCCTTCACTTTTTCATCCGTCTCCTCACCCATCTTCCCTTTGGCAACCACCAGTTTGTTCTCTGTTTTTGTTTTATTGCGTTTGTTCATTTGTGTTCTTTTTAAGATTTTATGTCTGTGTGTGTGTGTGTGTGTGTGTGTGTGTGAAGTTATTCAGTATTTGTCTTTCTCTGACTATTTCACTTCTCAAAATACCTTCTCTGTTGATCCATATTGTCACAAATGGCAGGATTTCATTGTTTTTTGTTGCTGAATGATATTCCATTATATGTATTACTAGAGGCCTGGTGCACGGAATTTGTTCAAGGGGCTTGGCCTTTGCAGCCCTGGCTTCATCCAGAAGGTCACCCAGATGGTCGTCCGCAGTTATTCTGCTGTTTGGTCTAATTAGCATGTTAGCTCTTTATTATATAGGATAGTGTGTGTATGTGTGTGTGTGTGTGTGTGTGTGTGTGTGTGTGTGTGAATGCATGTATCACATCTTTATCCATTCATCTGATGATGGAGGAAAGTGGTTGTTTTTTTATAATGGTGAATTAAGTTTGTCAGCTGGACTGATCTGTATTCTCCTGGTATGAGAATTCAGCTGACCATCCATCCACCTGTAAGGTCAACCTCTCCATAGACAGACACTAAGACCAATAGGAGAATATAAATTTAAGATTAATTGGCAATTGGCCACTTTTGACATTGTTAATGTAACTGGTCCTGAGATTTAGCCCCAGTCTTACGGATTCTTGTCTGATACCCCAGTGACTTTATGCCAATATCCAATGGACAACAGCTCTTTCTGAACTCAGGTTCCTCTTGATGTGATCTACTCATCTCTTCTTTGAATAATGGATTTAAGCCAATTTGCCTGCTGCTTGAACCTCTGGGTATACCTGTATCCCTGGCTGAGATCCATAGTTTGTACTTGGTTCAGGAATGAGTCAAATAAATCAAATATGCTATTTCTTCTATACCTTTCTGTTCTGGCTTCTGTCCCCTCCACTGCTGCTCCTCCTGCAATTTTCTTTGTAGCCAAAGGGTAATCTACCAAATTTGAGCTTCTTTCAAATTATGTTTGTTTGCCTTTTTCTCTAGCAATAACCTAGGACCTTTTCTATGTTGTAACTCCCAGTTTTCATTCAAATTTGAAAAGTTGTATTCACCTCTTTCTAGCTTTCCCTATTTCATTGAATCTAAAAAAAAGGTTGCGGAAACTGGTTTGGCTCAATGGATAGAGCATCAGCTTGTGGACTCAAGGGTCCCAGATTCTATTCCAATCAAGGACATGTACCTTGGTTGTGGGCACATCCCTTGTGTGGGGGGGTGCAGGAGGTAGCTGATCAATGTTTCTCTCTCATCGATGTTTCTAGCTCTCTATCCCTCTCCCTTTGTCTCTGTAAAAAGTCAATAAAATATATATTTTTTAAAAGGGTAATATGCAAATTAACCATCACTCTGTCACAAAGATGGCGGCACCCATAACAGCCAGGGCAGGATGCTGGCATCATCATCCCATCGATGAGGCCAGTGTTCCACATCCCAGGTGTGAAGGAAGGCGGGCATCTGGGCAAGCAGCATGCCCTCAGCCCAGCAGACACAACACAGGGCTGGGGGCATGCTCCTGGCAGCCACCATGGGGCTTGGAGCACACCCCCACCCAGTGGACATAACACAGAGATTATTGTCAATTTACCTTTTTTTTCTGTGAATGAAAATCCTATGCTCCAGGAAGGTTATTACTAACTTACTATGCAGTATTATACATTTAGTAAAAATGATCTACTGAACTATTTAATGACTTGGGAAAATGGCCCTCATCTATAATAATAAAAGTGTAATATGCTAATTAGACCAGACAACCGAATGACCTTCCGGACGACCTTCCAGACAAAACCAGGGCTATGAGGGCCGAGGCAAGCCACCGCAGCTGCGAGGGCCAGGCCCCGTGCACAAATTTCATGATCGGGCCTCTAGAATAGTAATAAGTTAAGAAGATCAGATTACTGAACAGTATAGTATAATCCCTTTTATTTTAAAAAAAACTATATCTATAAATTTCTGAAGTTCTGTCTTCTAAATTATATATTGTACAATAATTATGTCACTTTTATAATCAGGAAAATAATCTTTCTGTTAAAAAATTAATTTGTTATAGTTAGTTCAGAGAAAATAAATAACAGTGGACAGTTATTTATATACAGGGTAAAGACTGCAAATTAAGGAAAACAGAAGAGACTTCCTTCCCCTGCTACACACTTTTAATTCTGTTCATATTAACCCTAGAGAGAATTCAGAATGACTGTTGGTAGTAACTATACTATAGTGATTTAGAGTTAGCAACTGTAGTTCTAATATAAGTACTACCACTAAATGGTTCCCTTAGAGGTAGCATGAACACCCTATCAGGGTTTCACTTTTTAAAGAAAATTAATAACTACAATGAGTAAGTTTCTAATTAGATAAATATGCGTATATAAAGAGTGCATAGTAGGCATTCTACCTTTAGAAGTGATTTTAAACTTTTGTGCTGCAGAATTTTTAAAACAAGCAATAGCTGACCTCTTTTCCCTTAGATCAGGCGTCCTCAAACTTTTTAAAGTGGGGCCAGATCACGGTCCCTCAGAGAGCTGGAGGGCCGGACTATATGAACTACTAATTCCTACTGTAACACCTCGGCTGCGCTCACTGCCCAAAAAACCTGGCGGGCCGGATCAGACTCCTCTGCTGGCCGCATGTGGCCCGCGGGCCGTAGTTTGAAGATGCCTGCCTTAGATTGTCACATAAAAAAAATGATGACAGCTGAACAATAGTCATCTGGTGTGAATGAATCAAAGTTTTACCTATTTTTTTTGTCAGATAGGCAAAAATATATATATATATTTTGTTGTGCCACAGATTTTAGTAACTAGTTTATGTGTATCATGAGATGAAAAAGGTTGAAGATCAGTGTTCTAGAGAAACTGTTAGCTCAGAAATGTAATGTTCTTTAAGACTAAAACTGAAGAAATAAATTACAAGTCTTTCAAAGTTCCAGTTTAAAATATCCAGGCCATTAACAACATTCATTGTAGGATCTTTGAAATATTAATTCATTGTACTCATGTAGGCAATTAATTTATAAAATAATTCAGTTCTTCAGAAGACAATATTTTCAAGTTTTCATTTACTCTGTTAATTCACTTTTAGCACAATTAAAACACTTACAGTCTAAAGGGGGATGTTATTTCACAAAGTTGAGGTTTTTTCCTTTCTTCAGGTTGCTATTGGCAGAGCAGACCCTGAAGACTTAGACCTCTATGCTTCATCTCGGGAAAGGCGCTTTCGTTTGTTTGCCTCTATAGAGTGTGAAGGGCAGTTATTCATGACTCCGTCTGATTTCATTTTGGCTGTTACAACAGATGAGCCCAAACGTAAGTATATTTTTAAAAATACCTTACTAATTTATAAGATTATTTTAAATCTCTAGTGTGGAGCAGTGTAAGTTTTTCAGAACAACTAACCAAGTAATGTATTTCAAAAGACATTATGCTATACAGTGTTACCAGACTAATCGTTCTTACAAACTCCTATTGGTATCTTTTCTCTTTTCAGAATTTTTCAATTGTTCCCTCTTTCTCAGTACATTAAGCTTAAACACCACCTTCATTCTTGATATTCTTTATAACTTCATATTCTTTAAACTTATATTCTGCCTAGTCAGTTTTTATATCCAGCCTGAACAGAGTTGTTCAGAGGACTGGCTTTGAAGTTAGACCTGGGCAAGAATTGTGCCTATATCTTTTATATTTGCCATGGCTCCTGCAGAATAAATATAGGCTGATTGATTTTCACCTTTACATGTGCTGGGCAGTGGCTCTCAAACTTTTTGGCAATATATACTTTTCTGAAAACTTCCTTAATATCTGATTTAATAAAGGTAGTTGGATTCTCATATCTGCTTTTGTATTCAATATGTTGCAATTGTTGTTTTTCATGAAGTGTGAGCAAAATCTGCCTCACAGATATAAAAGTAGCAAAAGTATATTGAAATTAGACTGGCATTCATTTATTAGCTTTGAGAGCTTGGTTAAGTTATTCAATCTTTTGTTTCCTCATTTAAAAAGCTAAAAATAAAAACAGCCTCATGAGGTTTTCTGAGGATTGAATTAGTGTAATACCTGACACATAATAATCATATATAATAAAAGTATAATATGCAAATCAACCGAAAGGTGAAAAACAACAGGTCAGTGGGGGGTAAGGCCAGCAAGCAGGCGGTGCCAGGCCAGTCAAGGCACGTGCCAGTGGGCAGAGGGAGGGGATGGCGATGGGGGAGCGGCTAGCTTTTGAGGGGGCAGGGTTGGCCGCTCACTGGTTGGTGCTGTTCCTTGATCGGCCAACCGGTGGCCTCTCACAGAGGGAGGCCAGACTGCAGCTTAGGCGCATCAGTAGGACATCCCCTGAGGGCTCCGGGACTGCAAGAGGGTGCAAGCTGGGCTAAGGGACTCCCCCAAGTGCACGAATTTTCATGCTCCGGACCTCTAGTTGCTTAATAAATGTTAATAGATATAGTCACCATCATTATCACTTGAATTCATAACCATGATTTAAAATATTTTTAATATAACTTTTGGTGATATCAATAGGAAAAAAAGGTATCCTGTGTAAACATTTGCACAATAATTATAGTACAAGTAAATATCAATTGAGGTATACATTTGAATGTTGTCGAGTATAATTTTATGTTTGAAATTGAGAAAATTTCTTATTTGACCTACGTAAATAAAACCTAAAAGGTGAATTTCCCTTCTAGAACTAAAATAAGTAATTATTTATTCTCATATAGCTTTAAATATTATTTTAGTTTTAAAGATATATTATTAAATAATTAGACATAATATACATAAAAATATTAAAAATACAATGAATAACAACCTATAGCTTTATGAAATAAAATATATCCAATAGAATTGAAGTCCCTTTTCATACAAGTATTTATATAGTGTGGAGTAACTTCATATTAAATAAGGAGTTTAGAAAATCCAAAAATCCTTTGAAGAATAATATTAATGGCTCTTTAGTCTTTATAAGGAAAAGCTAATAATATTGGACATGGTGACATATCCGGCAGAATGAATATGTCTTTTGTGAATAATTTACCCTGGAGATTTCATAAAACCTACAAAACTCAAGAGTATTTCTAACTTCCTCTTTTGATAAATAGCTTCTGAACATTACATCAGAGCATGTGTATGTACTTTTGTGCCATTTATTTTTCTCCTTTTTTTATTGCTATATTTCAAAACCAATAGAATATTATTTACATTGTTCTGCTCATTATGAAAAGGAGGATGTCTTTACAAGTGAATGTATATAGTATCATAATTAAGGTTAAATGCTGAATTCAACTTTATAGGCGTATGATTTTAATCACTTGATTACATGTTTGTATAAACTATCTTGGGTAAAGAAAGGATGTTGTTTCTACATAGAGAAGAAATCTATCTGCCTATAAATCAGTTTGCTAAATTTTAGAACATACTTCCTTTGGATCTTAAGATGATATATTGATTAAGAAAAAGCAAGTTACATAGCAAAAAAATGCCTGTCTTATAAATCTTAAATTTGATATATTGTTTACATTAACTATGGTTAATTATATAGAAACTAGAGGCCCATTGCAGGAAGATTCCTGCAAGAACAGGGCTTCTCGCAGGCTTCCCTCCCATCTCTGCCACCTCTCCTGCCCCCCACCCCATGCTTTCCCTGCCGCCTCTGTTTCCCCACCCCCACCCCACGCTTTTCCTCCCGCCTCCGCTGCCCCCCACCCTCCATGCTTTCCCTCCAGCAGCTGCCGCCCTCCCCCTGTGCTTTCCCTCCTGCCACTGTTGCCCCGTGCTTTCCCTTCTGCTGGCCCCCCACATTTTTTCGCCACTACCATGCACCCCCCGCCCATCTCGCCTGTGCTTTCCCTCCTGCAGCCTCCTTGCGTTCTGCTTTCCTTCCCTCTTCCTTCTATGCAGTCTTCAGTCTTCACTCCTCCCTCCCTCAGCGTATGCAAATCAACCGCCATCTTTGTTGGGTTAATTTGCATATTCGCTCTGATTGGCTGTGGGTGTAGCAAAGGTATGGTCAATTAGCATTTTTCTCTTTTATTAGTGTAGATAACAACATCGCCATAAGGGGATATTATTGGTTGTCATTATTGTAATGTAGCTAAGATACTTAATATTTACCAATTCTAATTCAGCTGTTTAATAGGACTTAATCGTATATAAACATGAACTTAGATATCAGTGTTCAAATATGAGCAAAAGAAACCAATATGACTCACAATTATTTCAATATCATAAGATTTATAGTTAAGATCTTTAAGAGTGTGAAATCAGAAAAAGACAGTGATCACTCGTATTTTATTCAACTACAAGAGGCCCAGTGCACAAATTCGTGCACCAGTGGGTCCCTCGGCCTGGCTGTGGGATCGTTCTGAAACTAGTTCTCCTACATCCCCCAAGGGTCCTGGATGGATTGTGAGAGGGCACAGGCCAGTCCAAGGGACCCCACTGGTGCACGATTGGGGCCAGGGAGGGGCACAGGAGGCTAGACAGCTGGGAGCGGGGGGGGGGGGGGGGGGGGGGGGGGGGGCGCGAGGGGGGAGGGAATCGCGGGAGGGCTCCAGGCCATGTCCAGCTCGTCTTGCTCTGTCCTGATCGGCTGGATCCCAGCAGCAAGCTAACCTACCGGTCAAAGCATCTGCACCCTGGTGGTCAGTGCACATCATAGCAACTGGTCGACAAGTCGACTGTCTGCCCCCTAATGATCCGTACATGTCATAGCAAGCAGTTGAGCAGCCTTAGCATATCATTAGTATATGATGCTTTGATTGGTTGAACGGATGACTGGACACTTAGCCTATTAGACTTTTATTATATAGGATAATATTTTTATGGAAGAAGAATGGAAAACAGGATGAGACTCCCTACCTCACATTACTTGCTCTCTCCTTCATCTCTTTTACTTTGTCCCTATCCTTCCCATTCACCCTAGAGAGACCTGACCTTTTAATTATAATCACCAATAGTAACACAGCAGAGAGCATGGATAACACCTTAAAATTATAGTTTCTCTATGATAATATTTTATATTCTATGAATATTTAATAAATATCATTACTTGTGTTTTTAAGACCATAGGATGTTTAACATGAAGTTAAATTATTTTATAAATCTAGAAATCCCCCAAATTAGATAATGGTTATGGAAAATGTGTTTCCTATTCAAATTATTTATTATAGTTTATAGTACATGAAACAAAAACATACCATAAGTAAAATACCAAGTCTTGAGAAACATTGCCTTTAGATATAAAAGCTTGGTTTTAGGAGTTATGGTTGTTGATAGTTGCTGAATTTAGATATATATGACATTAAGTATTATCTAATTATTATATATTTGTTTATTATAGTTGCTAAAACATGGAAGTCACTTTCCAAACCGGTAAGTTAAAGCTCTTGGTATACATACATATTCATTCATATTCTCTCTCTCTCTCTCTTTCTCTTTCTCTCTCTATCTCTCTCTCTCTCTCTCTCTCTCTCTCTCTCATCACACACACACACACACACACACACACACACACACACAAACAATATGGTATATATATTTTCTGGAAATTAAATCACATCCAGGAACCATTTGAAGATGTGGATCATTGGTAACTCTCATGTGTGAATGTATGTTGGTATACCCACTTTGGAAAAACAATTTGGCTGTGTCTACTAAAACTAAAGATCCACATATTCCTTACCTAGCAGTTCTACTCCTGTAGAACTTAAGTTCTACAACTGTGCATGCATATATACCTAGTGACCTTACAGTTGAATATGCCCTGTGATACAGTAATTTCACACCAGTGTACATATCCAGAAAAACTTTCATATATGCAGGACAGATTGATAGGAATGGCCATAGATTGTTCATGTTGGCCAAAAAGACTGTGATACAATATCAATAGTAGACTTAACAAGTTAGTTTTGATATAGTCCTACAGTGAATATTATATTAACAGTGAAAACAAATGAACTATAGTAATGCTTTTACTAGCTGAATCTCAGAAACCATGACAAAGTAAGCAATTCAAAAATACTACATAAAATAGAATTCAATTTATATACATTTTAAAACTGGGGAAATGAAACCATCCTATAAAGGATACATTCATAGGTGGGAAAATACCTATCTAAGGAATGATAGATGTAAAATTAAAGACAAATTTATCTCTGGGAGAGATGGAGGGAATATTCTAAGTGAAGGATGCAAAGAGGCTACTTTGAAACTTTAGACATTTTCTGTAAAATTAGAATATAATACAAATGTGAGTCCTCTCACAGCTGCTACTCTCTGACTGTAGGTGTCAGCTAATGCCGTGCATTACTTTGTTCAGGCTGCTATAACAGATAACTCAGTCTGGTGGCTTAAACAGCGGAAATTTATTTTCTTATAGTCCAGGAAGTTGGAAGTTCCAGATCAAGGGTTACAGACTTGTTTTCTTTTGAGGCCTCTCTTCTTGGCTTGTAGATGGCCATCTCCCTCTGCTGTCTCCACATCTTTCCTCTACCTGTGTCTGTGCTAATCCCTGCTTATTAGGGACCAATCACATTGGATTAGAGCACATGTGTCAAACACAAGGCCCGCGGGCCAAATCCGTCCCTCCAGGCCTTGCAATGTGGCCTGCACCGCGCTGTCATCACTGCACTCCGCTGCGTTTCCATCACAATGACAGTTTATGACTGTTCAGTAAACCATTCGGCCCGCGATTTAGGCTGGATTTTAGATTTTGGCCCCTTCTCTGATTGAGTTTGACACCCCTAGATTAGAGCCTGCCATAATGACCTCATTTAATCAGTTTTACTCCCCTTTAAAGGCTTGTCTCCAAACTCGGTCATATTCTGAAGTGCTGACAGTTATGACTTCAGATGTGAATCTGAGGTAGACACAATTTAGCCTATAACTTATAGTATGATTAAAAAAAGAGAGAGACTCTAAGGATTGAAACTGTAGCAAATAATATTATTGAGAGAAACATATAAAAATACATAGATTTCAAATTTATTCAAATTTAGTACAGGTTTAATATGGTTGCTGCTGCATGTAACATTCTTCAACCAAAATGAATAAAATATTTCTGCATCAGCAATAGCAATTTGAAACTGTATTATCAAATAAGACATATTTTATCATAGCAAGAAAACCTATTATATATTTAGTGTACCTAAAAGAGGTACAGATGTTAATTTATATATATTTTTTAATTAAATGTATTGTGGTGACATTGGTTAGTAAGATTATATAGGTTTCACATGTACATTTCTTTGATACATGATCTGTATATTGCATTGTGTGTTCACTACCCAAAGTCAATTCAACTTTTGTCACCATATATTTGGCCCCTTTACCCTTTGCTAGTCCCTACACTCCCTTCCCTCTGGTAACCATCATACTGTTGTCTGTGTCTGTGACTTTAAGTTTTCTATCCCACATAAAAGTGAAATCATATGGTTCTTAGCTTCTTCTGACTAACTGACTTTGCTTAGCATAATATTCTCAATGCCAATCCATGTTGTTGCAAATGGCAGTATTTCATCTTTTCTTATGGCTGAGCTGTATTCCATTATGTGTATGTACCACATCTTCTTTATCCAATCCACTATTGAAGGACTGGGGTTGTTTCCATGTCGTGGCCATCGTGAATAATGCTGCAATGAGCATAGGGGTGCATATGTCCTCATGAATAAACATTTTCAAAAGTTTTAGGGTAGATGCCCAGAAGAGGGATTGCTGGGGCCTGTGGTAACAACTGTTCTTAATTTTTTGAGGAACCTCCATATTGTTTTCCGTAGTGGCTGTTCCAGTTTACATTCCCACCACCAGCGAAGGAGGGTTCCTTTTCTCCACAACCTTTCAGCGCTTGTTATTATTTGTCTTGTTGATAATAGCCATTCTAACAGGTGTGAGGTGGTGTTCCATTGTAGTTTTGATTTGCATTTCCCTAATGGGTGGTGAAGTTGAACACATTTTCATTTATCAGTTGGCCATTTATATGTCTTCTTAGGAGAAGCCTTTGTTCAGGTTCTCTGCCCATTTTTAAGTTACATTATTTGTTTTTATTATGTTGATATGTATGAGTTCTTTATATATTTTAGGTATTAAACCCTTGTCATGGCTGTTGTTTGCAGATATCATCTTCCATTTGGATGGTTGGCTTTTTGCTTTGTTGTCACTTTCTTTTGCTCTACAAAAGCTTTTTAGTTTGATAGAGTTCCATGCACTTAACTTTTGCCTTTACTTACTAATTTTCATGTAATGTGTGTATATTAACTGTATAATAAGACAAAATTATACTAATTTAAGAAAATTATATGAATTCTTTAAAAGGCAACTATAATTCTAGGTAACTGAATTCAATCCATCAAGTATTGATTTTGAACCTATTTGCAATACTGCAATATAATTCTGACACTCACTACCCGGAGTTATTGTCAGACTCGACAGGTTTAAGGACCCAACCCCCAGTAAGACTGCCTTCATTTCAGATGCCAGCTGCACGTTCAAGGTTCCCAGGCTACCCATTCTTCTGACCAATTGGCTACAAATCCATGCAGTTCCCAAACTCACTTCAAGTTCAGTAATTTGCTAGTCTTCCTCATAGACTGGAATCTTCTACACTTAAAATTACAGTTTATAATAATTATAAGGGATACAAATAAGGACCAGCCAAATGATGACACACATAGGACAAAGTATGGGAGGGCCTCAAACACAGAGCGTCTGTGCCCTCTCCCCATAGACTCAGGTGTGTCACCCTCATGTTCCATCAGTGTGTTCATCAACCTGAAAGCTCCACTGAGCTTTGGAGTTTCATTGCATAAGGATGATTGATTGGATCATTGGCCATGTGATTAAACTCAATCTCCAGTCCCTCTCCCTTCCCCTCAGAGGTTGGCTAGCTCAATGCCCCAGTGCTCTAATCACATGGTGATTCTTTCTGGTGATCAGCATCTTAGCTTAAACTCAGGTGTGACCCATGGATATAGAGTTTGCCTCCCAGGAATCTGGACAAAGGTATCAACTTCTTTATTATACAACATTGCTACATATAAGAGACTAAGATAGGTACCAGAGAGGGGGGAGAGATTCCCAGCCTGAACGGAAAATAGATTTTAATAAAATGTAACTGTTTAAATTTAACAGAAGGCAAAGAAATAAGTGTGTCATTGGATGACCTATATCAGAAAAAACTAAATTATTACTAAAATAAACTGCTTAGAATCAGTCAGGATCTGCCGGTCATTTACTAGCTGTGTGACCTTGGGTGAGTTGTGTTTTTTAAGACTCAGTAAAATATACAAAATGAGGATTACAAATTCTACAATTAAATGAGATGTTGTAATAGCCACATTGAGAGCACTCAATGAATGGTAGATACGCTTTCATGGAAACAGTTAAAATAAAATAAAGTTAATATATAATAGAGATGATAAAAATTAAGTGTAGACAATACATTTAAAATGTTTTTAAATCTTTTGCTCTAACAAAAAATATTTGTCTTAGTGATGTATAAACAGTAAGTATACCAGCTTTTCATCATTATTCACACCTGAATTTTTACCTCTCTGCCATCCCTACCCATTACCTGGTGGCATCTATACCTGCAGTGCAGAGACCACAGCATAAAGGAGATGAAAGCCAGGATCCACGGGAGGAATTCACAGGATTCTCAGGGAGTCCCTAAGTCCCCTAAAAATACCTCTCCTGTTTTTGGCATCCAGAGATTTCTTATTTGCATGCTAACTCCACTTTTTAATGAAGAGGATGATTTCTAAATGTCACAGAACGTTTTCAGGTAAAATTACATCAGGAAGGATTTGTCCAAAGTGCTGCTAAACTCAAATATTCATAAACGTCACCTGGGCATCTTGCTGAAAACAGATTCTGGTTCAGCAGGCCTGGTAGGGAACTGAGAGTCTGCATCTCTAACTGAGAGTCTTTTAATGATGATGGAGCCTTTGATGGTAGGTGGGAGTCTCAGTTCCATAACAATGGCTGGGCTATAGCACTTTGAATACCAAGAATCAGACCTAGAAATAGAAGTGGTTTCTAGTGTTTTCTTCAGTGTGTTATTTAGCAGACTAATTTTTATTTATTTTTTTAATAAATCTTTATTGTTCATATTATTACAAATGTTCCTCATTCCTCCCCCCTTCCGTTGCTCCCCTCCACCAGGTTCCCACCCCACCCCCTGCCCTTTCCTCACCCCCCATTGTCCTCATCCATAGGTGCACAGTTTATGTTCAGTCTCTTCCCACACCCTCTACTCCCCTTTTTCCCCGAGAATCGTCAGTTCACTCCCCAGTTAATATTGTTCATCAGATTTTTTTAAATTCCCTTGGTTTTTAGATTCACTTGTTGATAGTTATGTATTTGTTGTTCATAGCAGACTAATTTTTAATTTCAAATTTTTTCAGGTTATCTCTCCAAATCCTTTAATAATTTTTCTTCACATTTAAACAAACTATAATTTTCACTTAGTTGTTTTCAACACAATATATAAATACATTAAAAATTTTAGTATTATATATAAAGAGTGAATCAAATGTATAAATTTTCCAAAATAGTTTTTCCCCCCACCAGCTGTGAGTTTGATTAAAAAAAAAAAAAGCACACAACTAATCAACAATTGAAGTCTGTGTTCTTTAATGACTAAGATAAAATTAGAAAAGAATTGAAAGTATACAAAATAACTTAATGTCCTTGTCCTCTAATTTCATCTGTCATAATTCTTTGAGTCACTATTAAAATATTCTTCATTCCTTCCTGATATAACCCTTTGTCCATTTATTTCTACCATAAAGCCCCCTAAATTCAAGAGGCCTACCTTTTTCAATGGCTTCCATGAAACTGTCCTTTTCTAACGGGCTCCACAACTTACTCACTGTTTTATCTTAATTTGATTAGCATATATACATTACTCTAATTATTAAATTTATTTGCAATTTTTGGTAGCTCTAATTGAGCTACCAATTGTAGCATCTTTATCATTTATATTATATTTGAACTCTGGGCAAATGTTGGCTTTTTGTGGTTTAATAAACTATGGGTAAAGCATAGGGTAAATACAGCCATGTCTCAGGTCTCCTAAGTGAAGAATTTTTTTTACATAGGCGTTTAGATATTTTTATAAATATTTTTGGATTAATTTATCTATTAATTAGCTTTATGATACCTTATGTCATAGGAATTAAATCAAATGCTCTCTGAAACACCGCCAGTTTGGAAAGGATCATCAAAGCTATTTCGAAACCTTAAAGAAAGAGGTAAGTTAACTTTAGTATTTATGTATGTGAATATTGACACTTATACTGTTTATATATACAGATTTTCCTCATACTTAAAATAATCTTACAGCTATGTGTACATAGAGAAAAAACTGAAGAGAAAAATACAAATATAATAATTGTTATTTCTGGGTAGTGGGATTAAAGGTGGTTTTAATTTTGCTTTTTATATATTACTATATTTTCTAAAATTTTTACAACAAAATAAACTTTTACAGGTTTAAAAAAAAAATTTTTAACCATATTGAAAAGTATAGGCTATAATTACCTATAGAAAGCATTTTTCAAAAATACTGATTTTTAAATGACTCTTACTTCCAGGGAATTATAGATTTTCTTAAGTTTAATCAATGTGAAAAAAATTATTAAATCTGTGGTTGGCCACTCAATTTGAACCTGTTTCTTTTAAAAACAACACATCGCAAAATTCACTTATTTCAACTTTGTTACCCATATCTGTGTATCTAACTTAGCTTACTAATTCATACATATAGTCAAATTATATAGTTTTTATTGCAGTTTCTTACACTGTAATTTTTGTACATATTTATGCAGAAAACTAATAAAATCTTTAAGATTAATTTAATCTTAAAAAGGAATTTTTTTAAAATGTTCTCAAAAATGAGAATATATGATATAAAAATATTAAAGAAATTACATAAAATTACCTTTTTCTTTTTCATCATTTTTAACCAATACTGGTTGGAAAATGTATTTATCTAATATGAAGACAAATAGTTTAAAGGAGTAGTTATAATCCATATATTTTGTCTAATAGAATTAGAAATTCAAATTGTTTCCACGTGGGTCTCATGGAATCCGAAAAGAAGAGACACTTTACTTTTATTTTAGGCCTCTCATAATGTAGGGTTTTTTGTGTGTGTTTTTTTTTACCTCTTTGCAAAATCTTGGCCAAGGTATCTTTAAAGCCCTTAGAAATTTTTTCCTGGAAGTTGTCTGAAAGATTGCTGTTCAGATTTTAGGGTGGGATGATAAGCTCAGGAATTGTATTCCACCAGATCAATTTGAACAACAGTCAGTAAGATGGGACTGTGGAGACAGAGAGCCCATTTCCTGATCCAGTTTCCTTTTTCCCCTCCTTCATTCATTCTTTTTCACTTTTTTTTTTGAAGGATCCCTATGGAATCTAGGTATTGTATCTTTATATACATTGACCATTCCAGAATCTTTCTCCCATAGCATTCATGGCAATCAACCAGAACTATGTCTATAGGTCACAATATTCTAGTATAAACAAAAGAGGGGAATGCTTTCAGGGCCTCCTGGCTCGGTCCCTTCATGTCTTCTGACAAACTGCCTGACAGTGACTCCTCTTCTCTTTGTTCTGTAACAAAGAAGGTAGCTTCAGAGAACACCAGGTAAAATGGAGGTTTAAAGTTCACAGTCTGGTTGTGTAAGGGTTTTTTATACCCTTTAACCAAACATCAGGACTATCTGATATCTGGTTAAGTGTTATTGGCTTATTCCCGACTTTAATTTTCCCAGGATCTACTTAGAAAGTAAATTAATGCTTTAATTCTAGTTTTGGGTTTTATAGTCTAAAAGAATGAATTTGAGTAATAGGATGTATATTTTTATTTACCCACACTAACTCCTTTTAAAGTTTACAATTCTGGGATTACAGAGAACTCAGGCTTAGTATACAGAAAGTATAAGCCATTTAAATAAAATATAAACTTCTTAGATTACGTTTAATAGAAGCATTAAGTTTACAAATGATAATGATAACTTATGTCAGCAAAAAGATAACTATAGAGTTTTGTTTTTTGAATGTAATACAGACATCAAAATTCTGAGCAAGAACTATAATATTTTATAAACTGCTACTAAGAATTAAGCATTTTACAATGTTAACCATTTCCAACTTTTTTGTTTTATGTTTGATTCATACATTGAAAACTAGCCATAAGTTTAAAAGTTGCAGCTATAAGTAAACATTATAATTATTATTTTTACTGCCAATATATCTAGAAGCATTATGGTAATTTTTATAGGTTTTTACAATGAAAGTAAAATTAATTTTGTTGCTCTTTTGGGCTATGATTTAATAATAATAGTTTAGTCTCATTTAAAACAAAATTTAGCATTTTCTTTAAAACTGTAAGTTCTTTATTAATATTACTTATTGCTATATAAGAATATTTTACTTGATAAATATGAAGAAAGCATAATATTCTTACCGAACATAACTGGTACTGTTTTTCTTCTAGGTGTGATTTCTTACACAGAATATCTTTTTCTCTTGTGTATTTTAACAAGTAAGTGTACTCATTAAATTTATTTCTGGATGAAAAATTTTTAAATCAGAATTTGTATAAAACAAATCTTTCTTAGATTCTCTTAGATTCTCTTAAAACGCTTTAGGTATGTCTATGCTGTTTTGCAAATTTCATGTCAGAATACCCACGGAAAATGCTAAGCATGGCATATCAAGGGTCAAAATCATAAATATTATTGATATTATGGCTTATAGAATTATATATTAGTAAAATGCTCATAAATTATAAGCTTAATAACCTATATCAATCCCTGTGTGTTAGGCTACATGGGAGCCTAAAAGTAGGACATGTAATGATTTATAAATGCCCTGCTACACTCATTTTCTGCAAAACTATTGTGAAAGAATATCAAAATATACATCATACATCCTGAAATAGCTTCATTTCTCTCTTTCTCTTATGTGCAGCAATTCTTATGAAATATATGAAAGGTCTACTAAGGTTTTCAGTTAAATTTCATTGCATTTAATGGTGGAACTATACTCCAGCCACCTGACCTTTCTATTCCTTTATTGCCACCTCAGGAAGTTGTACTTTCTGCTCCCTCTGCCCTCAGTGCTTTTCTTCAAGATCCTCATGAACATAAACATTATTTAGGTTTCCTTTGAAATGCGAAGACTTAGAGAATTCTTACTTGATCACCCTTTCTAAAATTCCTTGTATTTCTAAAATAGCTCCCTCTCTCATCTCTTCCTTTTTATCCCTTTACAGTGTTTTATTTTCTTCATAGTACTTAAATTATTTGAAAGTATTTTTTTATTGGTTTACATATTCTTGTCTGTCTTGCCACACTTGAATGCAGGGTCCATGATGGCAAAGATTTTATCTTTTTTTGTCCATTTCTGTATTAAGAACAGTGTTTGACATGTGGTAGCCTTTTAAAGCATAGTTGGTGAATGAATGAAGATAGGCATGAATAAAAGAATATTGGTGGTGGAATTTCCCATTGTGGGGATTTGTGGAGATATATGGAAATAAGAACTCTCATGATTGAGTTCAATCAATAATGAATGCTGGCATGAAAATTACAGGAGTGGGTGCCAAAGAGTATTTCAAAGACTTATTAAAAAGTTATCTTGTTATCTAGAATAACTGCAGATGCAAAATTTGAAGTTAATATGTACCTAAACCAGTAGCATAAGCCTAAAATAGAACTAGTTAAGAAAGCCATGTGAGATGGGACTAGATATGATTTAAGGGTATTGGAAAAAACACATATGGTGGTTTTTGCTTACTATCGGAAGGTAAAGACCTTTGGGTGTGTAAATCTTCTTTTGCAATTCAGGACCCCTCTTAGAAACTTCTAGGAGTTTGCATTTTAGAATTATGGATACTGTTTAAGTTAGAACCAAGAAAAATGTGAAAAGAGGTCTAACAGAAGGTAGATTAGATCACCTATTACCTATCTATAGTTTTCTCCTCTTTACTTTTTATTACTTTAACTTTATTTTCCCTTCCAAATAATGCTTGTAAGGATTTCCTTTCTACATATATCTTATGATCTTTTTAAAGCTTAAACGTGGTTATCAGAGATGGTGTAGCTTTTTAATTTTTCTCAAGTGAGTAATAATGAAAATCAGTGTAGATTCCTAAAATACATGCAAGAAATGACGGTGCCTAAAAGACTGGCTTCCGTTTCCTTTATTTTCAGGCAGTTATTACCAGATAAGAAAGTACTCTGTACTTCTCTTTTGCTAGATTCAAAATTTCACAACAGGTAGTGGCAAGTGTAGCTGTGGGAGGTCCCATTCTAAACTGTTTGCCAGTCATCTAAAAAGTGTAGGTCAAAGGTTACACTGAGCTCTTTTAACAACATGCTCAAGTTTTCTGATGTCCACATTTTCTTCTTCATACTTTAGAAGTGAAAAGAGAAAAAGGATTGAACCTCATTGTAGAGCTCATAAAATTAAAGCAGTTTATAGTTTGTGAAAGCCTGTCTTTTTCAGAAAATTAATTATTCTTTGTATTTGGGGAATAATTGGGAATTAATTATTTAAGTCTCTTATTTCATATTTCTGTTTTTGAAGTTTAAACTTTAAAAGTTTCAACCCAAATATGCAATCTCTCATGCTTGACTTTTATTTTCATAGGTAATTTCCTCCACAATTTGGATTACTTTATTGTGTCATATTTATTTTTGGAAGGAAGATAGTGAAATTTTACTGTCAGGGTAATGTAGCCAGTATCACACAATATTTTTAAAGTATATTATCAATTCTGTTACTAAATACACTAATATATGAAGCAGAAATGTGTATAGTACTTATACACAGCTTTTATTATATTTAATAGCAACATGTTGCTTTAATTTATTGCTCAAAGAAATTATTTATAAACTGAATATAAATTACTGTTTAAAACTAATATGGACTTTGTACATAGACATACAAACTTAAAGCGATTTCTCATTTCACCAATACTCTGTCTTTTCTGGCAGAGCCGCGTGCAGGATTTAGAATAGCTTTCAACATGTTTGACACTGACGGGAATGAGATGGTGGACAAAAAGGAGTTTTTGGTGGTATGTATATTATTTGCTGGATTTTTATCAATGGTTAAATATTAATTCCTTGTATTTTTATGTTTCACATTATTTAAAATAACATCGTAAAAGCAAGAATGAAAAAAATTATGCTTTCATGTATATTCTCATATTCTTTGAATAATATTTACAGTAAAAATAAATTAGATTCTATGTATAGAATCTAATTTATTTTTATCTAATGGTTACAGTTGTATACACATTTTCTGGAAGTTTGAAATAAACATTTTATTCTGAGTGGATACCCAGTGAGTGCTCAGACCCCAACTTATCAGCCACCCAGTGACAACTCTGCCACAGGAACTTCCTTCTCGTTACAGGATTTACAGTCGCTGCTCTTCCTGTTCTCTTTCATTCACTTCCGCCTTGCATTCCAGTCTTGTCCCCATTTTCCTGTTCTGTTCTCCTGTCTTTGACCAAAGGCTGATCTAAAGAGGAAAGAGAAAGATTGCTTTTTAGATATTTGTCCATTGATCTTTCTCACCTCATTTTCAGGATGGTAGGATGGTGAGAGTTTTCAATATCATTGCAAAGACAGCGCTGTGTTCTTAACATCCTCAAATGGACAGATTGCGTTTTAAATATAGTTTTATTATGATAGTGTACAGCTGTATTTTAGGATTTTCCTGGTGGGCCTAGTAATCTAAATAATTATCAGTAGACTTTCTGTGACAACACTGCCAGGTTCCACCCCACTGACTTAAAGACTGACTTTTGGAACTCAGTCCATTGGAAGTTGCCTATATAGATGTCTTTTGGAATACTATCCATTTGTGGAGATGGAAGGTAAAAGCATTTATGGAAAACTTCTGTTTCCACTCTAGACTCATTAAAGCTGCCCTCTCCTTAAAGCTGCGGTTTACTTTTTGCAATGGCTATACTACTTCCTCATGTATGATGTTTGTTTGCAAACAGCAAAGAGTTCTGAAAGCAGAAGGTGGAGTTTGGCTGTTATTTGTTAAGGCTTAAAGTCTGATTCTCGTGCCTGTTTACAAAATGATTATTAATAACCTTTGCTAAAAAAAAAAAAAAAAAAAAAAAAAAAAAAAAAAAAAAACTTTCACTAAGAAAAAGTGTGAAAATTAATTTATATGTTAATAAATTATATTTTGTAATTATTTCATATTTTAGGAGATAATACATTTTATTTGACTTTCAGCTATTGCCATACAAAGTGAAATGGAGAGTTAAGATAGCTGTGTACATTACACAGACAAGAACAATAACCTTACCAGGAAACTTAGGCTTCCATTTGTAAAATAGGATTTTAGAGAAGAAATAATATTTATAATAAGAGCTAACACTTAGTGAGAAGTTACTGTGTGACAGGCAATGTGCTAAGTAATTATTTGCAATATTTACTCCTGTGTAACATTCATATAAGACCTGTCAATCATACCTCTATAAAGCCAGAGGAAAAATATTTCCTGTAAGGTAAGGCATTATCTCTATGTTCCTGGTGTGGAAAACCAGCCTTAAATAATGAGAGTAACTTTTTCAAAGATTATATTTGCAGAGTCCATGCTCCCATCACAATGCTCAGTTACCGGAGAAAGCTTAGAGGTCATCTTGTCCATCTTAATTTAATGTATGAACAAATTGGAGCCCAACGAGGGTTGAGTGGCCTGTCCACCACCTTCGAATCGGTGTGTGACAGAAGGTGGGCTCAAACCAGAGACCCTGAGTTCTACTCCAGTGTTCTTTATGCCCCAGTGGGCTTCCTCTCTTTTTTTTTGTTTTGTTTGTGCCATAAATTCTGTCTTTGTGCCTTACGGACAAAATAAAACTATAATTTTAAACATTTTACTAACTATGGGTTGCTGATACCAAAGGATGTGTTTTCTTTGGTATCAGCAACCCACTGATAAATAGGGAGGTACTCAGAAACTCTTGTTTATATTGATTGGTTTTCTTTTCAGCTTCAAGAGATATTCAGAAAGAAAAATGAAAAGAGAGAAACTAAAGGAGATGAAGAAAAGCGTGCAATGCTGGTAAGAATAATTTATAGTAGTTTCAGGTGGGTTTTCTAGATAAGAATTACATTACTTATGTTGAAAACAATAGTCTGTAACTTTGAAGATGTTCCTTTCTTAAAAACTTTCTAAAGTTATAATATAGAAAAATTGCTTCAGTATTGATATGTATTGATACCAATATTTATGTCAAATATTGATATTACATATCCGTATCCATAATTACATTCTTTAAATCATTTTATTCATATTGTTGTATTTTATGAGATTCAATTACAGATTAGTATAAATCATTATGCATATACAATTTAAGGGGAATTGCAAAAATTTTATTACCCATGTAGAATTTAATGGTACTATAACTATGAATGTTGAAGTAAAAACAAGGTAATAATGTTAATAATAATGTTTTACATTCTTAGAAGTTTATATTATAGATTTTTCTTCTGGGATGATGTTTTCATCTTACTCCAAAGGTAGAGTTAATCAACATTTCACTTCATTTTCCTACCAGTTTTCTTTTTCTTGCCCCAAATATTTCAATCTGACAGCATCCCAGGTCCACATAATAAAAAATAACAGGTACTGAGTCCTTATTACCAGGCACCATACTAGATGCTTTGCCTGCATTTTCTCATTTAATCCACCCAGCAATTCTCATATAATTGTAATTATAGGTGTGGAAACTGATCATTGAAAAGGTTAAACATCTTGTCCAAAATTGCATAGCTATTAAATGACAATCCCAAGAATTGAACCCAGGTCTGACTAGCTCCAAAGTCTATACCCTTAGCCACGAAGCATATTTCTTCATCTAGTACTTAGATAGCAAAAACGTAGTGAATTTTGTTGGCATGTAAATGGTAATTGTTTCATTTGCAAATTAGTGATTTGCATTGGTCTACCAGGAATTCAAATAATTAACATACATAATTTCGTTAATCTCATTTACCTAGTTTAGCTATCAGACTATTTCTTAAAACACCCTCAGCTCTCTATGATAATATAGCTCTCCACAAATGTTTGTTACTATGTTTAATTAGTGGTAACTTATTGTTAATAGCCATCATATTTTAAATAATGCAAATATGAACTGATGAGATTTTTGAGCTTTGAAGCTATTAAAATTGAAATTATATGGGTTATATTAGAGAGAGAGCATGGCACAGGGCTTGAATATCAGCTCTGTCCTTAATACCTGGGTGACTTTGAAAAGGGTCCTTAACGTCTCTGTGGCTCAGCTTCTTCACTTTTACAAAGGGGACAAGAGGAGTAATGATCCCATGTGATTCTTACAGGTTTAAATGAGCTAAAACATGTAGTCATTTAACAGTATGTGAAATAAACACTCAAAAAGGAATTAGTAGAACCATATAGCTACTTAAACTGAATATTTACATACCCAATTCAAAACTAAATCAAAACCAAATCTAAAAATATTTACATGCCAAATAACATTAACTGCTTCAGAAGGAGAGAGGAAATGAACATAATATTCTTGAGACACATTATTTGCTAAGCTCTGTGTTACAGCTATTATAAATTTTACTTGCATTTAGTCCTCATTATGTGTCTCCCAAGTAAGTACCATATCTGTTTTGCAAATGAGAAAATAATCTTAGATTCATTAATTTGCCTAAGGCCATGGCATTTTAAGAGGAGAAGAAGATTCCTTCGCAGGTCTCTCAGACCATTTCCATGCTACATTTAGATTTCCCCTATTGCGTATAGAATTACCGAAGCATGTCTAAATCAAATCACATACTCTGGAGGAACAAGTTTTACTCAAAGAATAGCTCCATCAGAAAGTTACAATTGAAATGGTTGAAATGAGCACATTATAAATAATGTTTAATTATATGAGATTTTTTATGAGATAACATAAAAGATAACATTTTTAATGTTTAATTATATGAGATAAATCTTTAACATTTATCCCACTTGTGTTATGCTCTCTGTATAGAATGTAGCATAATGATTTGCCCCTCCTGACTGATCACTTTGTTGTCTTTTTCTTTTCTCCTTTTCCTATACTTGGATTCATTCTGAAATGTAACGCTTCATATGGCCCTTTGTGCTCCATGTCAGCGTCTTCAACTGTATGGATACCATTCGCCTACTAGTAGTGTATGTACAACAATTTAAATATTCTTTATGTGAATATCCCTCCCCTGTTATACTTGATGATGTTATTTTGTTATATAAAACTATATCTGCTACTGAAATGTTTAGGAATTTATTAAATATGATAAGATGCAACCAAGCCAAATTTTTTTAATTTCCTTCCTATATTTATGAGAAGACTAAAAATTTACAGAGTAATTATATTTCTTTAATTTTAGATTGAAATAAAGAAAAGTTGAGTGAACAATAACCAACAACTGTGGTAAATAATTGAAATTTTATAATTTTCACCAGTATTTGAAGAGTTAAATACAAATTATGGAGCAGATTTTTAGACTGTGTTCCTGCAAACACAGGCATTTTAAGAACTAGGTCTACATATCTGATATACATTATTTTCTCAATTCTGATACAGAGGTATGTTAATGGATAGACTTTTCTTAGTTTTCAGTATTTCTCCCAATTTTTATTTTTATTTTTTTTTTTTTTGTAAAACCTTTGATCCCTTCCTATCACCTATGGTCTATACAAAAGTCTGGTATAAGCTGACATTAGATATGTTTAATCTATCAATGTATCATGTTATTTCTCAAAGAGGATTATGATTTTCAGACTCTTCTCTTCCTGACAAAGTTAGGAGTTCTGTAAATGATCTTCCAATGTACTCTTCTTATGCTAAGCTTTCTTCTTTGCTTTCTCTTGGAAAGTTGAGCTTGTTGGTTACCCCAGCTACTAAACAACTAAGAGTAGGCCATGCCCCTTTTGAATATAAACATGCACGATCCATTTAATTTCCCCAAGGTTAGAAGGATCTTTCAAATTACCTAAGTTCCGCCTGAGAGTAGGCCTTTGAATTCAGGGTGATGGACTCAGCATAATGCAGGTCAGAGTTCAGTTATAGTGTGCAGCTCTGTAAGCAGCTGTGCTGCCTCCTGTGTTGGATAATCAAAAGTCTAACACCCAAAACCTGACTCTGTTCTTGATTTGAACGTATGCTAGAGGCTGATTCGGCATCACATAAACCTCAGATATCTTGCCAAAGTCGAAATGAGTGGATCTATTGATAGAATGGGCCGGCAAACAAGCCAAGTCCATGGGATCCTAGGACGGACTAGTTTTCTGATTCTTTATAAGACGCTTAAATCTTTTCTACAAAATTCACAACTGTTTGTCTTTAAATATGGTCTATCATTTTCTTAAAATTTTAAAAAGAGTTCTCTATTAATCATTTCAAAAATTGGTAAGAATATGAAAGATAAATACCTTGTAGTTTATAATACCATATGTCCTGTGAAACTTAATAAATGTTAATACTTAAAACTTTATTATTTATTTTTCTAATCTAATATGTCATTGCATGAGCCATTTTCCAACTATGGCAATTTATAGTTTTCCTTTAAATTCATAATAATAATTTTCAAAAAATGCAAGCAAACAAGGAAAATTCATTTAAAATTAGAAAAAATTCAGATAGCCTAAAAGTTTATATGAAATACGATTGATGTATGTATTGCACAAATATATTACTATAATATTATGAATTAACTGGTAACCATCAGCTGGTTTCCAGAGCTGTAGATGAACTGGAGTGATCAAGTATCTAATTTGAGTACAGTTCATGGAGCTAATACAACCTAAGATTCTAACCTTAGGAAGAAGTTTCTCGGTAAAGGCAGAGGCCCTCGACTTTTACTAGAGACAGAGATTCTGTGCCCTCTGTAGTACCCTGTTCCAGAATTTAAGCACTCCTGCAGTAGATTCTATCTGTATTCTGTCAAATTATTTTTGGCTATTGCTTTGAGTAAACGGGTAATTTAGTTTTACCCGTTTTGGAACATCATTACTTTTCCAAACAACCCTGATTCTTTTCATATTTCTGACATAGCCAACTGTTGATTATTTTACTACTGTAATGAAAACACATATTACAAATTCAAAAGAATAAATAATGCGAAAGTGAAGTATATTTGATTTTCGTATGCCTTATGTGACTTTTTAAAGTACTTAAAGATTATCTTAGTTACCCTATATTCATTGTAGTAAAAAAAATGTACTAGCTTTTATACAATTTTTGACACATTTTGAGATGTGTTTTATGGACTAAAACAATGTTAATATTTATAAATGATCTGTGTTTGAAAGAAATATGTATGTTCTAATTTGCGGATTAGGGTTGTATTTTTAAGATAAATAATATATCAAATCATATATTAGAACAAACTTATTAATTAAATGTTTTAAATATCTGTTATTTCTAAGTTTTGTCTGCTAAATCTTTCAGTTAGTATGTTAAATTATGTTACAATAATAGACTTGTCAATTTCTACTTATAATTGTTAGTTTTTACTTTATATACTTTTAAGCATTGTTATTGCCTATTTAAGAATAGAAATTACTTATGTCTTTTTAGTGAATTGACTCTTCTATAATATACTAGCCCTAGATATCTAGAAGTGTTTTTGTCTTAAAATCTATTTTGTTGTTAAATAAATATACCACCTCTATTTTTATTAATATTTTGTTATTTTTGTATTTTGTGTTTTTTTTATTTTTCTCTTTTCCCTCTAATAATAATGAAGCTTTTATTGATTTTTAAAATATATTTTAGTTCAGAAGTTTACTGTTAATAAAATAAATAATAATAAAAGTTTGATCACCATATAGCTAAAAAATAAATATTGCCATGTCTCAAAAAGCTCCTTCATATTGTCTCTCTAATGATAATCCTTTCCTCTTCTCCAAAAGATAACTACAGAAATAACTTATACGTAAATCACTTCTTTGCAGTTTTACAACCTATTGCATCATAAATCATATAATTTAGTTTTACCTATTTTGGAACCCATATAAATGGAATCATATTATAAAAGTTTTTCATGTTTCTTCTTTGACTCAACATCATGATTGTCCATTTCATTTTCATTGTTGTATCTGGGTCTAGTTCATTCACCGTTATAGCTGTAAGCATCAGTTCTCAAACATTTTGATCTCAGAACGCCTTTACATTGTTGAAAATTATTGAGTATCCAAAAGAGCTTTTGTTTATATTGGTTATGTCTATTTATATTTACTAGTATTTACCATATTAGAAGTTACAACTGAGAAATTTAAAAATATTTATTATCCATTTTAAAATAAAAACTCACATGTTAACAAACATTTTATGAAAAATAACTTTAAAAATATAGTGGGGATAGTGGCATTTTACATTCTTTGCAAATCTATTTAGTGTCTGGCTTCATAGAAGACAGCTGGTTTCTCATAAAAGCTCTGCAGTCAAGCTGTTGCAGTATGTTATTTTGGCAACAAATATTCTCAATTGCTTCCTTTGGAGTGACAGGCTCACTTAAAAAAAAATGTCTGCCAGATACCAAAGTTTAAACAACCATAGTTTGTCTATCAGTTGTTCTTTCAAGTAAAAATGATTGTTCATGAAAAGAAGTGACTACTTTCCTTTTCAACACTAACCATCACACAAATGTTTTTTTCTGAAGACAATCATATGACTTTAGTAGGCAGGAGAAGCGCTTTATGCATACTTCCAGTCTCTCTACACCAAATATTGAAATACTAGAGGCCCGGTGCACGAAATTCATGCATGGGTGTGTGTGTGTCCCTCAGTCCAGCCAGTACTCTCTCCAATTTGCTCAGGGGATGTCCAACTGCCCATTTAGGCCCAATCCAAGTAGGGCCTAAACAGGTAGTCAGACATCCCTCTCACAATCCAGGACTACTGGCTCCCAATTGCTCACCTGCCTGCCTTAATGATTGCCCCTAACCTCTTCTGCCTGCAAGCTTGATTACCCCCTAACCACTCCCCTGCCAGCCCAATTGATGCCTAACTGCTCCCCTGACAGCCTATTTGCCCCTAACTGCCCTCCCCTGTAGGCCTGGTCACCCCTAACTGCTCTTCCCTGCAGGCTTTGTCCTTCCCAACTGCTCTCCCCTGCAGGCCTGGTTGCCCCCAACTTCCCTCTGCCACCCCAAACTGCCCTGCCCTGCCGGCTTAATCACCTCCAACTGCCCTCCCTTGCAGTCCTGGTCCCTCTCAACTGCCCTTCCCTGCTGGCCTGATTGTCCAACTGTCAGATATTCCTCTCACAATCTAGGACTGCTGGCTCACAACTGCTCATCTGCCTGCCTTCCTGATTGCCCCTAACAGCTTCTGCCTGACAGCCTGATCACCCACTAAGCACTCCCCTGCCAGCCTGATTGATGCCTAACTGCTCCCCTGCTAGCCTGATTGCCCCTAACTGCCTTCCCCTGTAGGCCTGGTCATCCCTAACTGCCCTCCCCTTCAGGCTTAATCACCTCCAACTGCCCTCCCTTGCAGGCCTGGTCCTTCCCAACTGCCCTTCCCTGCTGGCCATCTTGTGTCCACATAGGGGAAGCTATCTTTGACCACATGGGGGCAGCCATCTTATGTGTTAGAGTGATGGTCAGTTTGCATATTACTCTTTTATATGCACGGGTGAGAACCAGCTTGTTTGCCCTGAAGGGTGTCCCAGATCAGGGTGGGGGTTCCCTTGGGGCATGGAGCACCCTGGGCAAGGGGCCTGTGGTGGTTTACAGTCCACCATGCCCCCCAGCGACCCAAGCGGAGGCCCTGGTATCTGGGATTCATTTATCTTCTATAATTGAAACTTTGTAGCCTTGAGCGGAAGTCAGGGCTGACCAGGAAACTTGGCTTCCTCCATTGCCAGGAGCAACCCAAGCCTCCTGCTCTCTCCAGCTCCATGGCCACTGCCATTTTTGTTAGGATTTATTTATCTTTTATAATTGAAACTTTGTAGCCTTGAGCAGAGGCCAGGACCAGCGAGAGTGGGTGGAAAGCTTGGATTCCTCCATTGCCAGGGAATCCCAAGCCTCCTATTTGCTCCAGCCCCTTGGCCACCGCCATATTTGTTGGGTTAATTTGCATACTCGTTTCTAATTGGCTGGTGGGCATGGCTTTGTGTGTGTGTGTAGCAGAGGTACAGTCAATTTGCATGTTTCTCTTTTATTAATGTAGATTCTGGTCTTCTGGCTTCCATTGACATTGAAAAGTCAGTTCTAAGTCTAGTTATTATTCTTGTGTAAATCATCTTGTTTTCTTTCTCGCTACTTTTAAGATTTTTTGCCTTTGGTATTTTATAATTATATAGTAAATTTTTTTTACTATTACCTGTTATGAAATTTATTGAACCTCTCAAATATGAAGATTATTTACTTTTATTCTTGAATATTCACTGAACTATCTGTCTTTTACTTCTTTTAACAAAGTTGTATAACTACCTTAGTCTCTGGTAAGAAGGCCTAAAGCTCACAATCATCAGAGGCACTAAGACTGAAGAAATTCTTTGCCAGTTTTTCTACTATTTACATATCGTAACATTATATCTGTTTTATAATCACAGAACTCAGTTTTATTGGGCATATTCCCCTATCAGTCTTTCCTTAGCCTGTATGTGTATGTTCTGATTTTGTGTTTACTTTGCATTTCTTGCTATTAAAATCTATTCTAATTTTTATGGCTACCTTACGTTTATTTTAAGTATTATATTTTTCTGGTATTAAAGATTTCTACTAGTTCTGCATGTTATGAAAATTTACTCTTAATTACATCATCCAAACCATCAATTAAGTCATTAAATATTGGCTCCTGAATAGACATACATATAGAAATCTATGACTGTGCCAGGAAAAGCACTAATATATAAGCCATATTTCCCTGTAATTGCATACCATATCTTTATTTAACACAAGGCATGATAGTAGTTGCTATGAAAACATTGCCCCTTCCTTCAGAAACTTCATAATTTTAAAAGACTTTACTGCAGTTATTCCATTGTATATTCTAGCAAAATTTAACCTGAAGCTAAATAAAAAGTTGGAAAGCTTTCTGCAGGAGGATTATTATTATTATGTTCTAAATAAGACCTTTATTTTGTTTTAAAAGGTGATATATTGTATTATCCTTGCCCTAACCAGATAGAGCTTTGGCCTGCAAACTGAAGGGTCCCAGGTTTGATTCTGAGCAAGGGCATGTACCTTGTTTTTGGCCACATCCCCAGTGGAGGGTGTGCAGGAGGCAGCTGATCGATGTTTCTCTCTCATCGATGTTTCTAACTCTCTGTCCCTTTCCCTTCCTCTCCGTAAAAAAAAATCAATAAAATATATATATATATATATATTTTTTTTTTAAATGATACATTATCCTGATTGATGAATCTATAACTGGTCGTATAAGCCTTCACTATCTTTCTCTGTTTTATTCCCCCCTCCCCCCAGCAGTCATCCAAATAAACAGAACAGTCGTACCTCCCACTTGTCTTTCTCAGCTGACCTAAGTGTAAAATATAGCAACACTAAAAGGAGAAAATAAAAAATATCCTAATGCCACCATTCAGAGATAATCAGTGTACTGGAGTACACTTACCTCTTTTCTATGCACAGGAAATATGTTTTTTCTGTAGAGATCCATTTCAGTAAAGTTTATAAAATTGATTTTATCCCTTAATAGGTTGTAAATATTTTTCTAATGTCATTAATGTGTGTGTGTGTGTGTGTGTGTGTGTGTGTGTGTGGTGTTGACAAGTGTTTGGAAGTAGGGAAGGGGCTTCACAAAGCAAGTCATCCTTGTAACCCTCCGAAGAATAATATATTTAAGTCTTGTTTTCTAGCTTGATAGATTTAATCTTCCTTTTCTTTATCATATATTAACCTTCTGAGTTACAATTTAAAAGTATACCCATGTTCAAAATGTTTGGATAATATTTGTACAGTATTTAATCTGGCTACCCTTTATTGAGGTTCTAGCATACCTACATAAAAGAAAGTGAACTATGTTAGCTCTATATTCAGCTCATTTTACTTATTTCACTTATAATTTCAGTTAAAGCTTGTTTGGTTCTTAAAAGGGGTGATAAGCAGTCTCGCCCGGCTAGCTCAGTCGGTAGAGCATGAGACTCTTAAAAGTGGTGATAAGCAAAATGTCATATGGCTAAATTTACACTTATGGTAATAAATATGTCTTTGTTATACTAGTATACATGACTGCTGCTGAATAATACTATACTATTAACATATTTGAAGATTTTATTCAAATACGGGCAATAGGCAGTGTTTTCAAGTAAATAATGAATTGAAACTTAGATCTTTGAAATAATCCTCAGATGCGTTATAATTTTATTAGTGGCATCAGACTTTTAAAAATTAACACACATACACACATAAATAAAAGTCATCAGCTGCTACTCCTAAGTGTACCGTGCTGCATTTTCTTTCCATGAGAATCAAAGAAATTCCAAGCCCAAGAACGTGGGAAGCCTTCCCTGGTAAATCTGGACAGAAACTTACATTTAAATATTTTTGAGTCTTTATAGACTCCTAAGCTTGTAGTTCTGCATTTTCATATGAAGATTAGACTACACTTCTTAGTCTAGATATCCTTTTCTCCAGACTAGCCAATACTGAGGTCGAAGCTAGTGTTCTCTCCTTCTGGTAATAGCAAGTACCTTATCTATTCACAACAGACACACCTATCAAATTTCTGAGGAACTCTGAGTAAACTGCCTTATCTCTTCTTGACAATTTCAGATTAGTTTAAATTTTATTTCCCTAAAGTGTGGACAGGTTATTTTGATCCTTTGATGCACTACCACCATATATGCCAGCCAACAATAATTTATTTCTAAATTAATCATGGTTTTTATTGGTTGCTACAAAATTCCCCAGATCGTCTACAAATGAATTGACTTCACATCAGGCATGAGTAAAATTTTCATTTCACACTTTCTTAGAAGTTACGCATGTTTCAGTAGAAGGGCATGGGGGAAGGGGGAAGAATATGATTCTTCTTGACAAAGCCACATTGTCCTTAGAAAGAGTGGTTATATACCATTACACCTTTGAAAATACCCAGGGTTTACCAGCAGTGTAATATAATACTGTTGTGTGCAGCAGAAAACAAAAGGAGGTAAGCTAATGTGTTTTCTTTTCAAGGTTGGGTAGAAAAGATTTAAAGTGTATAAATTGCCATCCTTTGTGACTACCCTTTAGATTTCAGCTGTGCTTCTTAAAACTTCTACAGGTACTTAGACCAGATGCTGAGGAACTTGTCTCCAGAAGCTACTGGGATACACTGAGACGTAACACAAGCCAAGCACTCTTTTCAGACCTCGCAGAGGTATAATTAGACCTCGACCAGGTCGTTGTACTGTTTGCCATTTTGTTCATCTCATCCTCGTTTTATTTTAGAGTCACAATGATGGAACCAAAGATATCTTTTATGTTTTTCCTTTCCTCCAGTAAAGCAATAATTTCTCTGTGTAAGTGGTGTATTTGAGTATGTCAGCTGTGCTGGCAGAGATTACAAGGTCACCTATATCTACATTAAATCCACTTGCTTGTAGAAAACATGACTTTCCAACTTAATTAAAAGGAACTATTGTTATTTCTAACTTATGGATCACTTTTAGACAATTTGAAAATGCTGTTTTATAGTTTCACAGATTCTTCTCACCTTTTAACTTGCAATATTTCATGAAATGATGAAACTTAACTTTGGTAAAAGATAGCTAATTGCTAGAGTTACGCAACATTTAAACAATTAAATTTCCTAATTATCAGTAGAGAGTAGCTTAGTGTGGAGCTGGTGTGGTAGGAGCAGTCAAGGAAGGGAGAACATTTCCTCCTGACATTGTTCAGTGCATGGGAAATAAAAAGCACACTGACTGTTATTCATGCTGGTTTTGAATTTTATGGAGACACCTTATTGCTGCGCTCAGACTGCTCCCACCACCCTGCCCTGATTATGCCACTGTTCATAGGGATTTGTCATTTTAAAAGAAGGGCTGTGTCTTGTAGATTAAACAGTAATTTATGTTCTTCAAACCTTTTTCTTATTGACTTGAGAGACAAGCATCAGTTAACAACAGACCCATTTATTTATGCATTCATCAGTTCATACATCTTTGTGTCCTGATCAGTGATGGGACCTACAACCTTGGCATATCAGGACATTGCTTTAACTAACTGAGCTACATGGCCAGGAGTTATGTTATGGTTTCTATTGAGATTTTTTTTTTTTAATATATTATATTGATTTTGTACAGAGAGGAAGGGAGAGAGATATAGAGTTAGAAACATCGATGAGAAAGAGTCATCGATCAGCTGCCTCTTGCACACCCCCTACTGGGGATATGCCCGCAACCAAGGTACATGCCCTTGACCGGAATCGAACCCGGGACCTTTCAGTCCCCAAGCCGACGCTCTATCCATTGAGCCAAACCGGTCTCGGCTCTATTGAGTTTTTTTAAAGAACTTTTTTAGAGATTACTATCATCTTACCACATAGGACTTTCCAGTAAATACTAACAGATATATCTCTCTTTAGTTTTTTCTTTGAAAAGTTGGTTTCTTGTTTCTTTTTCTAAGGTTTGACTTTTAAAGATTACACCTAAAAATATCTAGAGAGTAAACTGGATTGGGTATAATTTGCTATTTACATATACAGTGTTACATGACTAGACCAAACGCTTAGAAATGTTCGATTTTTTTGTCAGTTGTGCTCAATTTTAAAATCCCCAAAGAAATAAAGCTTTCCCCTATTTCTAAACTGTGTTTGATATATCAATATGGTATAATTATGGTGAGCAATTACTCTTTTTAAATTACCTTTTAAATTTGAAATATTTTTAGGCATAAAGTGGTAACAGACATTCTACTTATAGATCATTTAGAGGTGCTTAATTAACTTTAATCAGCTGTGCAGACACACATTGGAAGTGCTTAATTCTGTGATCATTTGTGCAGGCACAAAGCAAAGGCACCACTGTGAGCCTTTACTTTCCAGAGTCTAAAAGTAAGAGCCATTCGGGACACCAGCCCTTCGAGGTTCTATGGCCTCGCTTCTAGCCAAGTCGTGTCACTGTTGTCCCTCCCCATACTAGTCTGTCCACCTCTCAGCCTCCAGCCCATCTTTAATCTCATTTAACTCTCCTAGAAATTCTCGATTCGACACAATCTGTTCATTAGATGCTGAATTTAATTTATATCCTGGAGGTTTAGTATCAGAAGACCAGGCAAATTTTACATACACTCGAAGGTGCTAAATGATATAGGTTCTTTTGAAGGTGTTTATTACTCGGATGTGGGCTGGAGCTGGCTTTTTGGCTTCTCACAGCTAATTCTGCACAGCTCTTCCTAACTCATCATCCTGTTAAATCTCGTTGGTACCTTGAAAGTGACCATGATGGGAGTATTAATATCATACAAATGGGCAAACACTATCCATTGGGCTTTTTGTCCAGGAGAGCCAGTTTACCAGCACACTGTTGGCTGTAGCCAATCCTCACTATAATCATAAGCTCCTAGATTCAAGTATCATGAAAGTAAATCTTATGGAGAAGAGAAAGTAGAAAAGAAAAAGAAGAAAACAAAACAAGCTATCTTCCAAAAGAAAATGATTATTTGAGGATTGTCTGTTACCACCTTCCCATATTAGAGAGGATACAGAATGAACTATGGTTAAGTTACAAATCATTCTAATTCCTCATAGGTTACTACTGATGCTGGTATAACACTGAATTGTTTATAGTATCAATATTTCAGGATTCAAATTGGTTCAGAAAGAAAGCTTAGAAATCTATTTGTATTTCTTTGTTTCTTATATATTTAAAATGTAAATCTTGAGATAAGCACTTTTCTTCAAATATTGTAGGTAACAATAGGTGATTTTTGATTATAGTAAATCCATATTATAATGAAAATTAATATGCCACTTTCTAATCAAAACAATAGGTAATACATTTATGTAAGCCTCTCAAACAATTATTGAGAACAGTCTGAATACAAAATTTTAAAAACCATTTTGAGTTTTATAGATGAAATTAAAAAATTTTTGTTTGCTTTAAACTTTATTCATCCTTAATAAATTTCAATAGATTATTCAGAACCTCTGCCAACAATCCTCCAGCCCTGGGACAGAGCTTGATAAGATTGGAATCAGTAAAAATATGTTGAAATGATATCCTTAAAACTCTTTATTTTAACAGTTTGATATTTTTATTTTATGCAAATTTACTAATTTATTTCATTTTTTATGAAACCATTTAAAATATGTTTTCATCAAAACAAAGTTAGATAATGGCCTTCCATGTAAATGACCCCTGGGATTCTTTTGTGGCAGTTTCTTGCTTTCTTATGAAAACACCTGAATTCATTTTAGTTTAACAATGAGCACAAGAATCAAAGGGATGAAATCTCTATTTTTGTCCCAGCCCTCCTGTGATGCAAGTTATATAACACTGTTAGGATACCAAGGACTCTGGTGTAGTTTTCAGTGACTCCCAACAGTACTCCATTTCATTGAAGGGGGGCACTTTTCACCATTCCCATTTTCTAATTTTTCTCTCTAATGTCAAACTTTTACTTATGCCTCTGTGGCTCTGGATTATCTGGATAAGTGCAACCTAAGTCTAATAAGATTTTCATGATGAAAGACTGTAAATGAAGATCTGCTGTGTTCTGTGGGCATGAGAAAAACTGCCTGAATGAGGTCATTATTTAAACCTGTGTAAGACAAAGCCATCCTATTCCCGTGTGTTAGGTCTCAAGGTAAAGAACAGCACAGCACTAGAGAAAGCATTCCATAATTATGTTATCTGAGTTCACTAACTTTTGGTCTTCCTGTAACCTCTCATTTTAAGGCATCTTTTTTTCAGATCTATATACTATTATATGTGTAGTTTCAATAAGTTTAAGTGTACCACGTAAAAATATTTTTTTTTGCAGTAAGCTTCAACATTATCATCTTTTTTATCTGAACTTCTTAAAATACATTGATTTAGCCAAAATAAAAGTAGCTAATACTTATTGGGCCTTTATAATGTGCCAATTAAAGTGCTAAATGATTTACATGTGTTACCTAATGCAATAATCCTTTATAGTAGACTAGAGGCCCAGTGCATGAAATCTGTGCACTGATAGGGTCCCTAAAGGCTGCTGACCAGGGCCTCTCTCCCTTCCCCTGGATTCCCCCTGGTCAAACTCCAGGACAAACTCCCAGTCAAGGGGACAATTTGCACACTACGCTTTTAATATATAGGATACTTTTGTTATTCCTGAGGATAATATCCTAAAGAGACTGACTTCACCACAGTCACTTAAACTAATAAGGAAAATGGTCAGGACTCAAAGCCAGACTCTGACTCCTGTGCTTCATTGTATTCGCTCACAACACTACTTGGGAAGTAAACAGCTTTCTAAAACACAACCCGCCTCCTCTGACCTATTTTGTCCCTCCCACGTTCTGTTTTTTTAGCTTCTAGATCACATGTGTCAAACACAAGGCCCGCGGGCCAAATCCGTCCCGCCAGGCCTTGCAATGTGGCCCGCACCGCGCTGTCATCACTGCACTCTGCTGCATTTCCATCACAATGACAGTTTATGACTGTTCAGTAAACCATTCGGCCCGCGATTTAGGCTGGATTTTAGATTTTGGCCCCTTCTCTGATTGAGTTCGACACCCCTATTCTAGATGGATACCCTAGTTCAGTGGTTGGCAAACTGCTGCTCACAAGCCACATGGGGCTTGCGAGCCCCAGTTTTGCCGCTCTGTTGACTAATGTCAGGGTTCTGGCTGAGAAGTAATACATTTCAAATATGTCCCTTTTAATAGAGAAAATGGTAGTTATTATATAACTCTTAATTTGCAGGATAATACATGAGAAAGGTACAATTATGTGAAATTTATCATTTTTTACCTGAATTTCTAAGAGATATGAGTTAATGGCCAAATAAAGAAGGAAGGGACTGGAACAGAAGTAGAAGGTGGGAAGAATGGAGGGAGGGGAGGAGGAGAAGGGAGGGACGGAAGCAAGGGAAAGAAAGGAAAAACCTATAAAGCTACATAAAAGGAAATAATGAAGATTTTCCATAAGCCATTGAACTTTATAAGGACTATATAATTAAGCTGTTTTAAGAATACACTTGTTGGAACTTGGTTTATCAAGTTGAATGGGAAAGGAAATACCCTCTGGAATTTTTCAAAAAATGCAAGACTTTTCTTTGAAAAAACTGTAGGAGATATAAATTTCAAAGTATTACTGCTGTAGTTTCTCCTTCAAATTATACTATCTCCTACCTAAATTATCATAAATATGGAATACAGTAAAAAAAATATTATGGTTTAAGTTCTTTTGTAAAGCTTGAGACCACTTTTTTGTCAGCCCCATATGTTCAATACATCTGAGACTTTATCTATTTTGAACATCCTAATAAAAGATTTTTAAGTTAAGAAAATTCCACTATAAATTACTTAAGTAAAAATAAAATATTTAGACGATTACTAAAAGAGTTCAACTGTTTTAGGTAATTTAAAATATGGGTACCTTTTTTGCATAATTTGAGGTAGGAAACTTCCTAAAATATATAATCAAATATCTTTAAAGTTTTTTGATGATAAAGATAGGTTTTGTTCATATTTATATTTTCTAATTTTGAACTTCTTTTTAACTGTAATGGCATTTATTAATATAGCCTTATACCTTTCATTCTAATGTTAATATATTTATATCCTAGATAATTATATGTTGATAAGATTCTTTGAGAGTTATTGGGTATCTTTATTCTGTTTGCTCACTGCATCTAACCTTTAAATTGTGATTTTTTTTTTTTTTAAGCGTGCTGATGACATTATGAGTTTGGTAACAGATACCACACTTCTTGTACACTTTTTTGGAAAGAAAGGAAAAGCTGAGCTCAACTTTGAAGATTTTTATAGGTGGGCTTAATTTTTGTAATTGTGTTGAAAAAATGTTAACATGCTAAAGTCAGAAACACCTAGTGCAGTGAAACCTTTTCTCTGCTTTCATCTTAATTGGAGATACTATGTCTTCCACTTATCAGTTCCTTCATTCCAGTGGTTTTATTGATAAGAATGATAGGAAATTACTGAATGATTAAAAATGTGTGGACATCTGGATTTTGATTTCCTCTACATTCAGAAATATTAGACAGGACACATTAACTCATCTCATCACTGCCCTGCAAGGGTTTTTGTTATCCCCATTTTACTGATGAGGAAGCCAAAGCGCTGAGAGGCTGAGTGCCATCTGTTACACCAACACTCTCCATTTATCTTGTTCATTCTTCATACATTCTTGTCATAGGTTCATGGATAACCTCCAAACAGAAGTTTTAGAAATAGAATTCCTTTCCTACTCTAATGGAATGAATACCATCAGCGAAGAAGATTTTGCTCATATTCTTTTACGATATACAAATGTGGAAAATACATCCGTATTTTTGGAAAATGTGCGTTACAATATAGCTGAAGAAAAGGTATTTAATCCCCTATTTTCACTTTATTACATATTGTAATTATATAAGTTTATAAATATATAAATTTATAAATATATTTTCCTTTGTTCTTTTGCTCTGTGCATTAATAGTTACTCTGGATATTTTTTTTTCCTATGTGTCCTAAGTTTTCGGCTAAATTTTTTTAAAAATGGCTTAATTTAAAATTCTGGGTAGGTATTCATATTTTTGTTAGATATGCTAAAAACCCGTAAGCTTGTTAACAGTTGCTTTATTCAAATTACAAATATCATTTTTCAAGAGAATTCTGCTGAACTATATGCTTTGACTTCTATATAAACATTACCTCATACAAAGCAGTTTATATTGTCATCAGTCACACTTGATTCCTTTCTATAACATCCTTAGTAAAAGGTCATTTGAAGATGGCCATTGATGAGTGAATGATCTTATCAGCAGTTGAAGTGAGGTTTTTCAAAGAGTTTGGATGGCATGAATGGTTAAGGACCTGGAACAACTGGTTGTCTATTTGTTTAGTGGCAAGTGTTTTGTCAGCAATTCTGTGCAGTTGTGCATTATCTAGTGGCATTTGAATGCATCGTTGCAACCAAATAGAACTGGTGTTACAAGCACTCCTTCAAGCATGGGATGTTTTGGATATATTGCCTTCTATTTGTGTTTGTAGAAGGATCAAGGTAATCTATCCAAGAAAGACTTGCAAATAGTTTGACTTTGTTTAAAATGGATACCTCCTGACAGTGCTAACAATTCTCCAGGAGAAAAAAGGACTTGATGTATTTGGCCTTTAGTTTTACATAATCTCTCAATTAGGGGCCTCTTATCAGTTTTACATGCTAAACTGAATTTTTTTTGATTCATAGACACTTCCCTAAAAATAAATATTGAAATTATACTATGTCAAATTACTAGGGTATTTTTAGAGTCTTAAAGAATCCTGCAGTGCTGAGGAAGGTAAGGGAAACCTGATCCTGACTTGGGCCCTTTCATATTGCTGCTGACCAGTAAATGGTATCTTTGATAACACAACAAACAACAACAAAAAAACAACAACAGTGAATCTCTCCAATGATCTCCCAAATTTGATGATAAAACCCTTTGAGAGTGCTAGGCAGTTAACTGTAATATGATGAACTTTGGCAATGGGGGGAAAAGATCCCGGGATGTCAGAGCCTGAAAGCATCTTAAAGCGATCACCTATTTAGTCCCCTCCTTGAACAGTCAAGAAAACTAAGGCTCAAACTGGTGAAGGCACTTGCTAGTTAGGGAGGAATTAACAGTGGAGACGTTATGATTTCCCACTATAGTGACTTAACAATCTGCCTTAACAATCACTGCAGCAGGCCCCTAGTAATGTGTATATTGATACACTTGATGGTGTCCCCAGATTCCTTAGACTGCATTTTTCTTCATTCTTTTTTCTTTCTGCTCTTCAGATTGAATAATTTCAATTGTTCTGTCTTTAAATTCATTGTCTCTTTCTTCTACCCTCTCAAATCTACTTTTGAACCTCTAGTCAGTTTTTCATTTCTGTTACTTAAACTTTTCAGCTCCAGAATTTTTGTTGTTTGTTTCTTCTTTTACAATTTCTGTTTCATTATTTTGTTAATAGATAGTTTTCCTGATTTCCTTTAGTTCTTTGTTCATGGTTTCCTTTAGCTCTTTTGAGCATATTTAGGACAATTTGTACAAAGTCTTTTTCTTTTTATTCCAGTGTCTGAACTTCCTCAGGGATGGTTTCTGTTGACTTAACTTTTTCTAAGTCTTCATACTCATTGTAATTTTTGCTAAAAACTAAACATTTAAATATTATAATGTAGTAACTCTGGAAATGAGATTCTCTTCCACAATTCATTTGTATTCTTTGTCGTGTCCGTTTGCTAATAATTATGTTCCATTGTCTTAGTGGTTAGCCAGAGAACTGATATAAGTTTTCTTAAATGCCCAGATCCAGGAAGAAGATAATATAGTATTCTCCATGAAAGTATTGACATTTACTAGGGTATACTTACAATTTGCTTTAAAAATATCCCATCCTCCTGTTTTTCACCTTTACCAGCAATTAGCATGTCACCCTGAGACAGAGACTGCTGCTGTGGCATCTGGCCGCAGCAGCACTGATTCAGAGCCCGAGCAGTGACCAGTTTCCCTGGCAACAAGCTCTCCACAGCAGGACTAACCCCTCGGGCTCGTCTCCCTAATTGGTTGGAATGGTCCTCTCTGGAAAAATGACAGGTGGGGGTGGGTCACAAGCAGAATTCAGGCTTGGAACAGCCAACCCTGAATGTAAGAAAAAAGAGAAAGAAAAATGTGAAGGGAAAAGACAGTGAGGATTCGCCTTGAAAATAAAGAGGGATTGTAATTAAAGTGGGAATAATGTATATAAAACTTTGTTCTTATTTTGATAATAAATTGATAATAAATATTATCTTGATAATAAACCACTTAGTCAGTAGTTGGCTTGTATGAAAATAGACTCTTCTGGTTCTGTCCCTAGCTTTCCAGTGCAGCCTTGTTAGTATGCCTCCCCCTACATTCAGGTCAGAATTGGTTAGGCCTAAGCTCTTAGCCCTCTGCTCTTTCGGTTTACTTTTCCTTTCAGTCACGTTAATTTACTGAGTAGAACACATTAATTAAAGGAAGCTCTTTTTTTTTAAATATATTTTATTGATTTTTTACAGAGAGGAAGGGAGAGAGATAGAGAGCTAGAAACATCGATGAGAGAGAAACATCGACGAGCTGCCTCTTGCACACCCCCTACCAGGGATGTGCCCACAACCAATGTACATGCCCTTGACCGGGATCAAACCTGGGACCTTTCAGTCCGCAGGCCGACGCTCTACACTGAGCCAAACCGGCTTCGGCTAAAGGAAGCTCTTGTTGCCCAAATTTGTATTATCTGAAATATGTGGTATTTATTTTAAATAACTTCCCTGTTTAAGTCAAGTAATAGGGGTGGCACTAATCGTAGCTTACATAAATGACATTCCAGAGTCCTGTCCATGACCCCACACCAAGCCCAGCATCAGGCCTCCAGAGTTGTATGTCCAGTCTCCGTGCTTCCTCCTGCTGTGCTGGCCTGCCCTCGCAGCAGGAGCAAGTGAAAATTCACTACTGTTGGCTTATTTTCATTGTCACTATAAAGATAGTGATGACCATCAGACAATGTTAAATTATATTTCATGAGTATTTGTACGGTGGCAACTTTCTTTTAGGTGTCTATTTAAAACTCTTCGTTTTCCCTTCATCATCATCTTTACTTTAAGGGTTTAAAAAAATTGAGGCCTGCTATGCAAGAGTTTTCAAAATAGAAGCTTTCCTATCCATCTTGATTGTAGCAATTTTTTGGAACTTTGTGCTGATATGAGAATATTTTTAAAATATTTTCAACTAACATTCCTAATGGTAGCAACACTGCTAAGTAGAAAAAAATGTGAGTGAATTTTACATTCCATCTGGAGAAAGGTTTCAGAATGTGCCCTAGAAATGTTCACTCGCAAGATATATTGCACGTGCTTAGTCTGTTTCTTTCTAATAAGTGTGGGTACTTATTTTAATAAATGTGGCCACACTAAAATCTATTTACATATATTCTCTCAATGTAGGGCATCACATTTGATGAATTCAGGTCATTTTTCCAGTTTTTGAACAACCTAGAAGATTTTGCAATCGCCTTGAATATGTACAACTTTGCAAGTCGTTCTGTAGGGCAAGGTAAGTAATAATCTTTCAAAATTAAAAGCAAGAAATAACCCTGCATTGTTTCAAAGACTTTGACATCAAAATAATTAGATATAATAGCATATTAGCCATAAGTTGCCTGGAAATTTGTTGTGTCCTTCAATGGGAAATCTGTTTTCCCTAAGCAGAGTTTAGGGAAATAGGCTAAATATCTGTATATGTAATATACAGATGATGTATTATAGAATCATACACCTAGAACCTATATAATCTTATTAACCAATCTCACCCCAATAAGTTCAATAAATAAATAAAAAATGTTATTGCCCTTCATTTCTTACTATGGGGGAAAGCTATTGATGTTTGTAAAAGTTCAAAGAGAAAGACACCTCATGACATTGAAGGTTGTGTTTCTACTTGTAGAAGAGCCAGCTAGTCGTGCCTCAGCCATCATCACAGGATGATGCATATTGCCCACAATCCCTGTGGCTCAGAAACCTGAATTTAGCCAACAAAGGCCCCCTCTTAGCTATGGACTCACATTAACCATGTTTTAAGAATGGTTTGTAAAATTGAATGTCAGTTTTGCAAAAAAAAAAAAAAAAATTCAACTGTCATGGACCTCAGTACTGGTGACCTCAGAACAAGCTCTTTCTTTCTCTGTAGGTACAAGTTAAGTTCCTTTCTCGAATTCCATGGCTATAACTACTTTCCCTTCTTCCCTCATGGCAATATCCTTTCTAAATATTCTTGCTGTACAAGGACTTTCTATTCATGTGTTTAAGATGATTTGACCTGTGTCTGTCGTAATCCATTTTCCAAATGTAGTCTAAGGGGACAGAACTTACTGTTTTATTGCCAAGCTCCAGGGAGAAGCCAAACTGCAGTCATGAGCGCTAATGATAATTATCTCTCTCCCAAAAGCATGGAGAGTGAGTCCCTCAGATGGCTTCACTAATTTATTCATTGAGGAAGAAAAACCTGAAAATTTGTCATTTTATCTTTGGTCTATTCTAGATGTTCAAATAGGGTATCTTCTTAATTGAACCCGTTTTCATGAAGGAACCCAGCCATTCCAGACAAGCATTTACTACCATGATAAAACTACTAATCAGCCACCGAAGAAAAAAAAAGTCTGGTTCAGAATGCACAGTTACTGTTTCACTTTGTGGAAGTGGGAACTGGAAAAAATCAATTGTGTACCCTTGCAGGGGCTAGGAATATATCTATCTCTTACTTTCTGTTGTCACTACTAGCACCTTAATTCAGGTTGTTATTACCTCTTCAAAGGACCGGGTGTTCCTGCTAATACCCACATCCCTCTCTGATATTTCCTACACAACTCACAGAATAATCTTTCGAAAACACAGACTAGCCTTTCTCTGACATGCCTGCCATGGAAAATTCTCTAGTTCCCCAGCTGCCTGTTGAAGAACATACAGGTTCCTCACTTCAAAGTCCCTGCACAGAGCTTCTCCAGCTCTTACATGTCCACACTCTCCTGGTTCTTTACACCCTCCTGCCCCCTCCATCCTTTGTGCATGTCATCTCATCTGCCATTTCTCTCATCTCTGCAAGCTGAAATCTTCTCTCCTGGGGGCTCAGCTCAGATACAGAATCGCAGCTTTTCCTAATCACTGTGCTTCTCTCTCCGTTCCCTACTCCGCACTACAGACAGAAGTAATCACTCATTTCCAGATTGTCACCGTGCTTTGTTGGTACTTTTGTGTAGTCCTGTGTATGGTTACTTGGGCAGATGTCTTATCTCCTATTGGGACTGTAAGAGAACTTACCATCTTAGTAACCTCCAAACTCTCTGTCACTGATAGTGAGTGCTCATTAAACAGTCACTGACTATGAATGCATTATTAAACTAAAATACAGCTATTCTTGGTCCTTTAAATTAAAACTACAAAAGTTGGATTAAAAAGATGTGGTACTTTTACACCATGGGATTATATGCAGCTGTAAAAAAGAAGGCTCTCTTACCCTTTGAGACAGCCTGGAGGGACCTGGAGAGTATTATGCTAAGCAAAATAAGCCAGACAGAGAAAGACTGGTATCACCTGATCTCACTCATACATGGAGTCTAATGAACAAAATAAAATTATGAACAGAATAGATCTAGAGACATAGAAGCATGGAACAGACTGACAACAGAGGGAAGGTGGGGGAAGGGTGGGGGTGGGAGTGGGTGGGATAAGATTAGCCAAAGAATTTACATACATATATGCATTGGATACAGACAATAGTGTGATGAAGGCCTGTGCAGGGGGGTGGGAGGTGGGGGGGAGACATCTAATACTTTTAATAATAAAGATAAATTTTAAAAATTACCAAAAATTTTTGTTTCCTAAAAGATAGTATGATTAATGGAAAATCATAAGATCATGAGCCATGTTTAGAAAAAAAAGTATTTTATAATCTTTGTAGTAATTAATACATTTTATAAGAATAATAATGGCTTACTCCTTTTCTGTAACATTTATCTAGATGAATTTAAGCGTGCCGTCTATGTGGCTACTGGTCTCAAACTTTCACCACATTTAGTGAACACAGTCTTCAAGATTTTTGATGTTGACAAAGATGATCAACTAAGTTATAAAGAATTTATTGGAATTATGAAAGACAGACTCCATAGAGGATTCCGGGTAAACCTATACATTTCAAACCTATTGATACTATTTTTTTTTAACTGAAAGGGGGGAAAAATCCACCTAAGTTTCAGAAACAATTCATATACATTTTTCAAGATATAAACATAAAATGTTATACTTGAAAAGAAAAATGTAAGGCCCCACCTACTTTCAGAAACAATTTGAAGTGATAAAAGACAATGCTTTTTTAAATATAAAATCAGTTTGAATATTAACAACTTAATTTCATAATCAAGTAGTTCAATGTCTTTATCCCAGTTTGTGGGAGCAAGTGTTACCAAATATTTTTTTATTAATTCATCTACTCACTTGCTATCAAACTTCTTAGTATACAAAGGAATACCACTATTTCTCATTTTATATGATGCAGCTCTCCAGTAGGCAACTGAGATGCTTATTTAAGTCACCGTATATTCAGCACTTTTAATATAGAAGTTAAAGTAAAAATATTTTTTGTCTGTTGAACCATTCTTCCTGTTAACATCTTACCCTGTAAAATAATATGAAAATTTCAGTGATTTTATTCTCAAGTATGTTTTAAACAACGAAATATAGCATGAATCAATAAATGTTTACACATGTAGCATATTTGTAGATGGTGCCAAAAATGGGAAAAGAAAAAAATATTTCTATTAACAGCTAGAATATGCAGCTATCCCTCTTTGGTAAGAATATCCCTAAGTATTATACATTTAAAAAGAGAAAAAGTTATATATACAATAAAATCAAGATTCATCATAGACAATATTTTTAAACCTTTTTAATGATTTTTTAAAATCCAAGCTGTCTTGGTAACAATACTATGTACTTAACTGCCACCTAGCGGCCAGTCATTAACATTTGAAATTATGGCAAAAGGACCTGAAAGAGCATGTATTGAAAATCATTTATTCTTCCTCAGAAATTTTAGAGTAGCAATAACAAATTAAAATATAAACTATGCTTATAAACCTCTGATGCGCATTTTTCTCTTAAATGTTGCGTGTTTTTTAATTTTTTGCTTTATTTATTGCATATTTGTGGCCCCGTAACATTTCATTGACTTTTACATTTTTTAATTCTCTGTACCACAGGGTTATAAAACAGTTCAGAAGTATCCCACTTTCAAATCCTGTCTGAAGAAGGAACTGCATAGCAGATAAGTATGTTAGCTTCTCTGTCTGAAATTGTTCAATAACAATAAAGAAAAGGTCATGATTTATTTTTTTGCTATGACATTTAGGAAATAACTAAGAGAAATACCTTTTATTTTTAATTTTTTAGCTTACTAATTCAAACTTAGAATTACTCTGTTAATGATTTTATTTTAGTAACTTGATTTTATTTAGTAATTCATTTGATGAATTAATCATTATAACAAAGAACTGCTTTGCCTTTATTAAATTGTGAAATAAACTGGATTTAAATACTCATCTGATTGGAATTCTTTTGGAATGTCTTGATTAAAAATGATTCTGTTTAACCTGCAACTTTGTATCTGCGTAGACACAAAATAACTTCATATTCTACTTTTATAATGTAGAGTCACTAACACCTAAGGAATATTTTTTAGGATCATGATTACCAATGTCTGTTACAATAATAGCAGCTAATTTTTACATAGTTATTTTAGGTGCTTGGCACTATTTGAGGTTTTCTTTCACGTGTAGACTCTCATTTAATCCTCACACATATCCCATTTAACGGCTGAGAAAATAGAGGCTCAATGAGTCATTTGCCAAGATAACATGCGCTAGTTAGTCACAAACCGGGTTTGAACCTCATTCTGTCTCATGGCATAGTCACCTTGTTTATTGTTTTCTAAACTATCCCTGTAGAATGCCATAGGTGAGGAAGGTACAGGAGGTTCATTCAATTTATTTCAACCCAAAGAAATGTCTCATACTTGTTACTGATCTCCAAAATGAGGGATTTGTTCTTTTCTATAAGTCACCTGTACCTATAAAATTTTGGTCCATTATGGATTACAGTTAAGTAGGTCTTTAATTGCAAAAGTATATTTTTGCTGTTTTTCTCAAGCTGGAAACATTTATGTTTGTTATATAGCAGTATTACCAAAATTGTTCCAAGCGATATTGATGCATATTATTTTAAAGGTTTAGTCAAGTAAGTTAGAGAAATGTAATAAACATAGTTAAATAGGTTCCTTCCTCCTTAGAACTTAGGGGATCTTATGCATTTGTGTCTCTAAAAGAAAATGATAGTATTCTGTGTTTTGCAAAGTAGCTTTGAGGCCTAATGTCTTATGGGAAATCCTGGGAAATGCTGGTCTAAACTGTTTAGTGGCAAGTAGGCTAATCATTCATCTGAGGTGTAAGTGTTGTGACAGCTAACAAACCTTCTTCCTAATCTCTGTTTTAAAGACTTGATCCTGCCCTGTAGGAACTTAACTGAACATTAAAAAACAGGACCATACCATTTATATGTGCACATAGGTAGTGTACTCAACTAATTTGTCATGTTGTCACTCTGACGCTATTGATTCTAAGCTGTACTTCATAGAACCATAGACAAAAAGGACTACATTTTTTCTAGACCTTGAAAGGACTGAAGACTAGACAAGTTACTAAACAAAACACTGAACTTTTAAATTAAAGAAAATGTTTTATGATTAAAGTCTTTTTTTTTTTATCCTTATATTTCCTGTTCGGTGTTTTTATTATGTGCCTTACTGTTTCATATTATTATCATAATAATGTTTTATTAATGTCATCACCTATAAATTTCATGCTAAATAAATATTGCTTATATTTTCAATTAGGTACTTTAAAGCAAAGTTTAAAGAATTTATCTACATAACAAATGCAAGAAGCAGTGATTTCAGAGAAATGAAGGTCAGAAACTTGCAGAAATGAAGGAAAAGGTGAAATGCTGATTATATTTTTTCTTGAACTGGATTCTTGAATATAAGACAGATAAACTTTATCTTCTTACTAACTACAAATGCTGTATATTATCAGGTTAAGCTTTTGCCTTGATTTACTGAACTTTGCACTTTTTCATTCCTTTCAGAAGTACATAGATACTTCCACTGACTATATAAGAATGTATTTTAAATATTTTAAAATTTACTACAAATTTGCCTAACTTCAAAATAATGTATGATTCCTGGAATCTAGATCATTTAAAAATGAACAATGGCATATTATCTTTGGTTTTAGACTGTGAACTTATTTTAAGAAAGTGAATATTTCTTAAGATTTAAATTAGGGCCTGAGAATTGTTGATAAATCCCTATTATTTATATGATGTTCAGTTACATTGAAAATGTCCTGAAAAACAAATAGAAATTAAAATACTATACAATACGATGATTTACACTGTACTTTTATCTGTTAAAACTACTAAGTTAACAAGGTATTATTTGAGTCATATAAACTTTTTTGAAGGTCTTGTTTTTTGAAGAATGTCTAGTATTCTTTTATGTATACAGTAAAGAAATTTAAAATGTAGGTTTTTCCTCAAAAAAAGTCCTGTATTGGAGGTAGAATAGTGGTAGCTGTAGCATTAGTCACCGTCATTGTCATTACTGTTTTAACATGATGCTGCTCCTGATTACAGATGGTGTATGTTAATAGCACTAGTAAAAATCATGTCTTTTTTTAAGTATCTTAAGTTTTACATATGTCTCCTTTTTCCCCAATTGACCCCCCATCCCAACCATTCCACCCAGGCAAGCCCCCACCGCCCCAGTGTCTGTGCCCATTGGGCATGCTAATATGCATGCTTACAAGCCCTTTGGTTGCTCTCTAACCCCCCACCTCCATTTGTCTCTGAATCTATTTTTGTTTATCTAAAAATCATATCTTATAATTTGTAACTTATTGCTCATTGTTAATAAATGTCTATAACATTCAAATGTAAAAGACTAATATAAAATGGTTTAAGGACTTATGTAAATATTAGGTAGAAGTTAATATTTTGTTTCTTGCAAAAGGACCACCTGCAAAAGTGATAACAAATAGTAATAATGAATAATGTAATGTACTTCATTATTTCAAAGTCTGTCTTAAAAGAGAAAAGAAAAACTGTTAAGAAATAACAACATTCGATTTTCACATGGAGAAAATTTGATAGTACTTAATGGAAATCTGTTCAATTGAAAAGTTTAGTTTATAAAAGATTACTATACAACAAAAGTAGAACAATAAATTAAAATTAAAATGTTAATATATTATATGTATAAGATATATTCATTTATCTTCTTTTCCAAGATGTATTTACTGTCATTTGTACACACTCCAGCTATTGCCTTGCTTTTGCATATGAAAACAAGAAATACTGACTTTGTTTTTATAAGTTATTAAATGTGAAATTGATAGCTGTGCATCAGCCTATTTATAATAGTAATGCTATATCCAAGAAAATGTTATTAGCATTGACCATGTATTTACCTTTTTACATTCTTCATCGATATTATTTATTACATTAATGTAGCAATGTGATTCATAAATGTGAGGATTCTATGTAGTATAATAATTTAATTTCACCTTCTTTCAAGTTTGATTCAATTGATGGACTAAATGAAAATGCCTATTCACTCATTTAACATATCCTGATCTATGTTACCTTACCTAAATCAACATTATTTGCTATCTAAAATAATTGAAAAATGCAGTTTACTTTTATCTTTTACTATAAGTTATATTATCTTGCATACATGGAAAAATTGCCATTTAGGAACGTCCTAAAATGTACATTAAAAACTAAATATAGCTCATTAAAATTATTTATAATTCTGTCATTCTCCCAAGGAATACTACATTGTGATCTTTATTCATAATTGCTTATCAGAGTGAATGGATATTCATTTGTTTATAAGACTATAGCATAATATTAAAATTGGAATAAATAAAATATTCTGGTCAATTAAAATGGAAAAGAATAGTAAATTACAATGATTCCCTACATATTATCACTCATGAACTTTAACCCTCTAATTAAAATGAGAGGTAAAAAAAAAAATCTTTTGATTGTTGTCTATATCAAATGAAAAATTTTAAGTGCTTTGAAAATAGTAATATACTAAATACATTTATGCTAGTATTCTCAGAATTTCCTTCTACAAATTATTCTTTGGAAAGATGTAAAGCAACCTTACATTCTTATATTATCTGAAAATAAATATGCCTGAATCAAGAAACTTAGTACCTTGCTTTTATGTTTATCTGTGGACTAATGTCTTTTCTAAAAAATTGTCACCTCCAAACGACGGAACTGTTTTTTGTTTACCAAACCTCCATTGGTCTCACACCCACTGCTCTCATACTACCTGCCAGTGAAATTAATCACAACACTTCTGTAGGTAAACAAATCACAGAGCCATAAAGCCTCTCAAAATATAAAATAGGCATTGATACTTTGTATAATGTGGTCACTGGTACTGAGAAGCTTCCAGAAAATTTACGGAGTATCAGTTTTGCTTTACAGAACTGATTGCTTAAATGGCTTAAAATAACTAAACCAGCCAAAACAGGTTTGGCTCAGTAGATAGAGCGTTGACCTGCGGACTGAAAGGTCCCAGGTTCGATTCTGGTCAAGAGCATGTACCTTGGTTGCAGGCACATCCCCAGTAGGGAGTGTACAACAGGCAGCTAATAGATGATTCTCTCTCATCGATGTTTCTAACTCTCTATCCCTCTCTCTTCCTCTCTGTAAAAAATCAATAAAATATAAAAAATAAATAATAATAATAGTTAAACCAACAGAGCCCCTTTGGTACTAATTTTGGTTCTTTTGTAGACATCATCTTATCAAGATGACTCATAAATTTACTAGTTTTCAAAATTCACTACCCTACTCTTTATAGCCATACAATAAATTAACATTTTTATATACTGCTATTACTTCCAAAGGAAATAAAAATACCAATTGTGTAATATTGAATAAGTATACAATAAAAATCCTATGTAATAAAGAAAGAATATGCTAATTGACCATCAGACCCTTACAAAGATGGCAGCACCCACTGCCAATAAGGAGGGAATTTGCTAATTGACTGCCATGCCCTCAAAGATGGCAGCACCCAGTTCCCTCAGCTGCACCAGGGCAGTAGATGGTCTGGCTGCTCCACGCACCTACCTCTGGTCCCAGTCCCCTCAGCCCCCAGTCACCCAGGGCAAGCCCAAGGCACAGGCAAGCCTTGGATGGCGGTTGCCCAGCTGCCCAGGGCCTCCTGAGGCTCAGGTCTCCAGGGCTGGCCGAGGCTTGTGTTGCTGGCAGTGGCAGCAGCAGAGGTGTGATGGGGGCGTCACCTTCCCCTGATTGCCGGGTTGCCTCCCACCCCTGAGGGCTCCCGGACTGAGAGGGGGCAGGCTGGGCTGAGGGAACCCCCCTCCAGTGCATGAGTTTTCATGCACTGGGCCTCTAGTTTTAGTGATAAGAAAGCCTAGTTACTTTTTCTTTTCTTTATAAATAAGTCATAAAATAATGGTATGTCTTGCAATGAGTCACATCTTAAATTCTGTGAAATATTTTAAGATGAAACTCACTGCAAAAATATAATTCTCTTTACTTGGCATATCTTTATAATTCTCTTTATATCACAATCAGTTTTTTGACACGTCTTAAACTGAGGAATATATAATTGTGACTTTATGCATATTAGTATACAGTGCTCAGAGAAAGTGCAAACATTATTATAAAAGTTCTCTGGAAAAGATAAGTTGTGTCAGTCTTGTAAAGGAAGAGAAGGGCACGTGTTTATGAACACAAGAAAAGACAAGACGAGGATAGAAAAAGGATCTAAATAAATACAGATTTTTTTTATTAATAATTGGGATTGAGTAGACATTTTTTAGAAAAATAAATGTTTAAAAATGCAATAAAGCAATAATGACAAAAGTCCTTTCATTTGCCAGATTGAAAAGACAGAGTGGTTCTGTAGTATACAGTGTTGGTAAGTGTGCGAGGCAAGTGCTGACAAAGCTATAATGTTCAGAGGGAAACATAGAAATAACTCAAAGCTTTTATCTAAAACTTTACTGGGATAGTAATATCCCAATACATGTATTTATAGATTTGCATGTCATAAGTGCATATTAAATGAAATAGTGTGCAACTATGAGAAAGAATGAGGTGCATTCATCATGCTGATACGAGATGATTCTACAAGATATTTTTATGAGAACACATCAAGCTATAGAAGAGGGTACGATATGCTTCTGTCTGTGTTCAAAACACACTTTCCTTGCAAAGAATTCTATTTTACGATATCATTATCGAAGTTATGTGTACGGCTTGTTCAAAGGAAAGTAGCCCCAAAGGGTTTACGTAAACACAGCGTGCCTCTTGCCTCGTTTCTGCTCCTCTGAAGCAATTGCTTCCGAATCTTTCAGCAGTCTCTTTCGCTATCTGCCTTCCTATTTCAAGATGACATGCTTACACTAGTATTTCTTGATTGAATTTATTTTTGATACGTTACTGTTGACTTCCTGCAACGGAGATGATAATTTGGCTCTATTACACAAACCCCCTTTAAATCTCTGTCCCCCTCTCCCTCCCCCCCTTCTCTCCATCCCTCTCCTCCCCTCCTTTTTCTCTCCCTCTCTCCCCTTCTTTCTCTGTCTCCCCTCCTCCTCTCTCCCCTTTTCCCTATCTAATAAAGACTTATTTTATTAGTATAAAATCCTCCAGTATATTTAGAGCATAAATTTATAAATCAATTAGTATAACATCAATTACTGTATTTCTTTCTTTAAACATCTTACTTTCCCTAGAGTTAATAATTTTCTCCTTTTCACTCTGCTTAATTTTTATGAAGTTCTCATTTACCTATTACTAATTCTTCACAGACTCACCTCCACGACTAAACACATATTGTTAACACATTGTAACAATTTTTATTATACTTTTAGAAATGCCTCCTGGAGCTCTCTGTCTTAGTAGCCCGTCTCACATGGTTGTTATCTAGTCCTAACACAGAACAACTTGGAAGCTCTTTGTGCATGGAATGAACTTTTGACCAATGGGTTTCCCTCGTTGCTTTCTGACCGGGCCCTTTCCTCTGAGGGACCGTGACTAGTAGTACTGATAGGTCTTTTCTCTTTGGTCAGATTTCTGCTGCCTGGTAACTCAAACCCTGGCTGCTACTTGGTACAGAGGCCTTTTGAAGATGGGACCATAGGCATGAAGGGGGCTATACGGTCATGTATCCAACAAGTGGTTATTGCACTGGTTTGAGTGTTTTTACCATGCCTTAGTTTACTTTTTCAAGAAAAGCACATTTTTAAAACGTAGGATCTCAGTCTGGAAAAGGTGGTAATAAATCATGAGGGTCATGTGTGGGGAGATTTAGTCACCAAATCTAGAGGTAGGTTACTTCTTGAAGCAGATATAGTTTTAAGAAAAAATGAAAGTATAATGGTGATCATGAATTTATGGCACTGTCACATGGTGGGAGCTTGGATGGTAGGGATGAAACTATCACATGGTGTGAGCTTGGATGGTAGGGGTGGGAACTACCACATGGTGTGAGCTTGGATGTAGGGGTGGGAACTACTACATGGTGTGAGCTGGATGGTAGGGATGTAACTATCACATGGTTGAGCTGGATGGTAGGAATGGAACTACCACATGGTGTGAGCTTGGATGTAGGGGTGGGAACTACCACATGGTGTGAGCTTGGATGTAGGGGTGGGAACTACTACATGGTGTGAGCTGGATGGTAGGTATGGAACTACCACATGATGTGAGCTTGGATGGCTGGGATGGGAAAGGGATGAACCGATGGAGGAGCATCAGTGGAAATAAGTTACTTGATTTAAAAAGTTAAAGACAATAGCCATACTCTCTGACATTTACCATAAGAGACAAAGAACTGACCCGATTCATCAGTCTAATTCAATATGGCATTCCCTATTGCATATTCCCAGGGTTGAAGCAGGTAGCTTAAAGGTTAGCAGATTAATCTACTAGCAGATTTTAAACTGAGTTAAAATGAGCGTTTAGGACAACATGAAAGGCAATAAGAATATTCTCAGGCTGTGGTATATACTGCTTTACTCATTGCAAGCTCTAGGTGCTGTAAGAGTTAAAAGTTCAAGCTGAAAAATCTACACAAACCAGTATGAAAATCTATACTATTTAATGTCATTGCTCTTTGGTATTAAGAGGTTCTCAATAAGGTGAGTATCTTATATACCATTTGTGCTGTAATATTTAATTACAGCGAGTGTACAGATTAGCTGTCTCAAAGATTCTTTTGAAATCAGATTGCACATCAAAACTGCATTGTGCTCAGCTAAGTAAGCAAATTTAAGAAAGAGGAGAAGATGATGTCAGACTTATTGCAAAATGAACAAATAAATAGGATTTGCTTGATGTTCAGCCTATTAAAGCATGACCAAATGTTAGCCTTTGTTTGTCAACTTATGTTTTTCTAAAATTTACAGAGATTCAGCCCATGGAAAGTGTCCTTTAGCTAGGATAGTACTTGTAGTTGAGAAATAAAAATAACATGAAGATGCTGACTAGATTATTCTGGTAGTTCAGTTTCTCATAGTGATTGATTACCACATAGGCACATACATTAGTAACTCAAGATTAGTAACTCAAGTACAGGTGTATTTTTTAAACTTTTTTCATTTTCTGATTATAAAATTAATGCGTGTTTTTGCTCCCTGATACCTAAGGTTTTATAAGCTCGGAGGTTCATGTAACTTCTCCAAAAGAACCAGACAATCCCCTCACCAAATACAACATACACTGACGTGTTTCCAGTTTCCAAGCATTTCTCCCTTCAGAAAAACTGTAAAAATAAATTTTAAATTTTCCAAGACTCACATTGCCAGGAATGAGGACTAAGTGGCTTGGAACCGGAATTGGACCTGCTGCAAATACCCAGGGACATGGTGAGGCTCTCCGAGAGCAATGGGGTCGCAGGAAGGACAGAGAGCTTGCAGGCCCCAGGAGGGGCAGGATTGCCTGGGGCCAGAGTACTAGACTGATAGTACCGTGTTTCCCCGAAAATAAGACCTACTTACAGGTTTCCTTCTGAGTGAAATATAAGGCATCCCCCGAAAATAAGTCTCCCTCCCCCCTCAGGCTCTGTCTCAGAATGCTATTGCTAAACATGAGAGATTTGGTCCACTGATTCTGAAAGGAATGGAGTCACAAGAAATTCACCAGGAAATTCAGGAATTG